TCAGCCAAAGCAGGTCAGCTGCTCGCCTTGCCTTTTTCTGGGGCAGCGCATAGCAAGCTCTGACTGGCAATCCTTCACGAGGCCCAAGAATGATTGTTCCATGTAAGTTGTGACAGGCTTTTGGCTTCATAATTGTTTATCTCTCTTGGAGTGATTCCTCTCTTGGATGGGTTTGGCTAATGCATTACCTTTGGACAGAATGACCCATGATGGACTTGGAAGAAATCTCGCCAGTGGTCGGGGGGGGGGGGGTTAGAGCTGTGGTGCAGAGGGCCTTCTAGGCTGAGATTAGGGGTGGAGAGAAGTGCAGGAGGTGGCTCATGCGGCTGGAAGAGAGTGTGAAACTGCATTGTCTGAGGTTTCCATTGCATGGCTGATTTGGTGAGCCTGCAGAGGACATGCAACCGACATTCCCCGTCAACCTTCTGTTTCTCATAATTGTAAGAGCACGAAGTTCAATTTTAGAGGAAACATGCTTAGCAAGGGGCAAGCATTCATGTGTGCCTCTAAGTGGATCAACAAGAAGAATGATTATTTTCATTGCATTCTCTCCATAACAAGAGCTGGGTAAACCACAGGAGGGCAGTAGTGCCCCACTGCAATACAGAAGGGCCACCGCTTCTCTCTTCCCTCCAGCTATGCCTTTAAGAATTAAAACGGGATGCTGCTTGATATGATAAATATCTAGCTTCCACAAAATATCCCTCCTAAATTACAGGTGAGCCATGTGATGTAAAATGATGACAACAACAACAAGTTGAAGCCTGATAATATTGTTAGCAGGAGCATGTAAGCAGATATTTTGTGGATAGTCTCTGTCTTGGCTATAATTTGTGGCTCCCTCTTGTGTGAACAACAGCATTAAAAAAGTAATATATTCTGAGAGGGGTTAAAAGAGTGATGAGGAAACTTCCCATGCTGCCTGGAAAGCAGAGTTCTGACCTCAGAGCTGGGGATCCATGGCAGAATGCTCCCCACCCAGTTGCGGCTGGCATGGATAGAAGAACCACAGCTGGACAATTGACCTTGGAGAGGGGGGAAGAGGACAGGGGACAGGGGACTGGGACTGGGACTGGCGAGAAGTATCCTGGCAGCACTCTAACCTCTTTCCCTCTGCCTCTGAAGCACCTCAGCCAGAAGGCCAAAAAGAGTTGTCTAGCTGAATTGCCAAACCCAAGAAGCAGGGAGGTGGGAACAGCTTCTACCACTCCTTCTGCTCTGTACCTGATGAACCTTTGAGTTTTGGTGCTTACTGGCAGCGGGGTTACAATTCCGATTCATAGGATTAAGCGGCCTTATGTCAAGTTCATTTAGCCCAGCATAGTGACATTCCAGGGCTTCAGGCAAGAGTCTTTCTGAGACCTGCCTGGTTCCTTCTGCACGCAGAAGGTGCATTACACGACCTAACACCAGCCTGTCTTCTGTGCTCCTCAGACCAGTTCTGCAGTTAGCATTTGTGGATACAGACCAAGTAGAAGGAGTTGCTTTAACATGCCACTGATGTCAGTGTAAAAATCCTAAGCGCATTCTTCTGTCTCTCCCCATTGGCAGCTCTGGTATTTTGTCTGGCCTAGATCCATCTACATTAAAATAACCTTACCTAACCTGGTGCTCTCCATATGTTTTCGAGTTCAGTTTCCATTATCCCCAGTCAGGTGGTCAAGGGTCAAGAATGCTGGTACTTGTCATCTTAAATCTCTGGAGAGCACCAAGTGGAGCAGACAGCCTTAGAACATAAGATGCAAATGACACGGGATACATCTTAATATGGAGATTGATTGTAAACTAAGTGACTGGGAGCAGATCTGCTTGATGAGGGGATACTGGAAAGGCAGGTCAGTGGATTTTATAAAAGGTACTTTCATGGTCATTCTAGCAGTCTGATGGGGTGATTGTTCCTTTTGCTCTGTGCAGTCCCTAGAGCCTGTTGCTTGTCATGCAGCTAATTCTACCCCCTTTCTCCTTGGGGCCTTCCTCATTATTCTGCACTCTCTTGTCCCTTCCAGATCAAAGCCCTGTGATATGCTTGCATTACTAGGGGGACTGGGTGGAATGATAGGAGCATATACCAGGTTCTGGCTAGAATAACCAAGCTGTTCCACGCAGAGCCTTCTTGTTCTGCCCCTTTCTCAGGGCATTTCTCCTGCTATCCCACTCATTCAAGCGTGGGTTCAAGGAGCCCAAGTTTCAAAGGAGCCTTTACAGATTGCATAGCAGGCTTTCTGACTGAGGCATTAATTAACCGTTTCTGTGGCTTTTGAAGCCTTGGTGAATTGTTTTAAAGCAGCCTTCCCCTACCTGGTGCCCTGAAGATGCCGTGCCCTACAATGCTGAATATTCCTGACTGTTGTTCATGCTTGCTGGAGTCAGAGGAGATGAAATCCAAAAACAGCTGGAGGACAGACGCTCGGAGAAAGGGACCCTTAAGCCTCCAGCTGAGAGGATGATGTAGGGTAGGGGATGCCCAGGAATGAACTTCACCTGCTGGCTTTGCAGCGAGACGCAGTTTTCAGTTGTCTAGCTGTGGAGATTTGGGCAGGGATGGAATGGGCTGGAGCACCACCAGGATATTTCATATCCTGGCTGCCACAGTCTCCCCCCCCATCCCCCCCAGTGCCCCCTACATCCTGTCTCCGTGGTCACTCTTACAATCAGAGAAGCTGCCTATGAAGTTCTTTCTGTGCCAGCTGTGGGGAGAGGGGAGAGCCACCTGTGGATCCCCAGCCTCCAGGCATGCAGAGCATCCTGCGTCTTCCTGGGGGCCGTATGGTCACTCCCTTAAAATGCTTTCGATTTTAGGTTGTGTATGGAGGGGAGGGGGGTGGCAGCTGGCCCTCTCTGATTTTAAATTAATAGCAGTTTCATCTTTTCAGACACACAGTCAAAAAAAAAAGTAATTTTCCTCAAACCACAAGAAATTTGTGAGGGGCTCTGCATTGCTCTGTGCTGCATGGTTCATATGCTATTTATATCTTTAATGCCTCCCAAATATAAAGTTAGAGAGCTGTGGGTCGCAGAAGCAGACTTCTTACAAGAGGGTAGCTGCAAGAAAGAAAGCTGTTTATTTTTCTGGCCACTAGATGTCATTGAAGTGAATGAAACACTAAATAGGGTTTTCAGTGGGGAAAAAATCATATATTTGGTATGTTAGATTAAAACACATGGAACACAGATTTCTTGCTTTCTACTGTGAGAGGGAGAGAAAGGAGGGAGTTCCTTAGAGAGCTCCTTAAATGCGTTGCTATGGCAACAGGCATACTGTGCTTTCTCCAGTGGAGTAGATCATAGCCTCCATACTGCTTGCAATTAGTTGTTGCAGGATTCATAGGTTTAATTCAGAGGTAACCACAAGCCAAAGTGCTCTTTCACTCACTCCACCACTCTGGGACATGAGTTCCCCCCCTTGTTAGGTGTGATGGCCAAGCTGGTAAAATATGGGTAGTTTCTAAATCTAACCTCTAAGTCTCTGCTTTAAAATCCACATCAAATGGTAATATTAAATGGCAGTCTGAATGCTCTGACCACAGTTTGGACTGAACCCAGAACAATTTCTATAAGAATTAATGACTTTACATCCAGTGCAGCAGTAATGTACGGAGAGAGTAGCGTCAAATGGATCAGCTGTGTTGACTGACTGGTTGAAAGTAACGGACAGGTTATGGATACTGGTAATTGTTTAAAGAAAAATGTGCTCATGGTCAGTGTGGCTGCATTCTTGGATCTCCTCCTTGTTTTGTAGCAGTGGTGAGGGAGCGGCTGGAAAGCATCTTCTCCCTGCACCACTAAGGTGATTTAAGATGCTTTAGCCCCTGGGCAAGAGCCTGTGATGTGCAGTTGCCCCAGCACCCAGGGTTGGGTAGTACTGGTGATGGGAGGAACCACAGTGTGGGTTTCCGCCACATAGTTCAGGGATTCATTGGTGGTACAGGGTGGAAATTTTCCCCTTTCCCCCAGAGATGTTCCATTTCATAATTGCAATAGTATGGATGCATTCCAACTGTAAAAACAATATAAACCGAACTCTGCAGTGTCAAAATTGTAATTAAGGTTTGCAGGTAATAACAACTGACCTAAGGAAGGATGTGAAACATTTGTTCCTTTGTCATATATATTTATAGAGAGAGAGAGAGAAAGTGTCACAGTGAAAAGGAAGGTGCCACAACAACCCTAGTGGAAGAGAGTTGACTTTGTTGAAATAGCAGAATGGTTGTCAGCATGTCATGCGCATTTCTCTGGGGTGTTTAAAACAGGGTGTCAGCAATTTTTTGTACCTTTGTTTTCTTAAATGTGAAGAATGTAAGGGAAGTGGCAGCTGCTGTTAGCAACCTTCTGCAAGTATTACAGTAAAAGTGTCCATAATATCACCTTGAAATCCTATTAAGTGTGTTTTATTTTTTCCCCTCAGGTATTTCAGGTCCAGTACTTGGGCTGAATTGGGACAAAAACAAAGCAAAAACAAAACCCCATGGAGTACTTTTTAAACCTTTGTTTACTAAATACAAGTAAAGTAAACATGCTAAATTAAATCTCACTAGTATATCAGAACATTTTCTGATGCAAACTTACAAATTTCCCTATGCAAACAAATCAAATTTGCAATGGGAAATATGATATAAAATGCACCCCTGAATGAATTATCATGTTGTCTGAATCTAGCCAGTGTAGATGGACAGACATTAAATTATGCCAGTGTGGTATAGTGATTAAGAATGTGGGGCTGGGACTCACAGGTTCTGGGTTCTAGTTCCCGCTCAGCCATAGAGCCAACTGGGTGACTTTGGGCCAGTCACAGACTCTCAGCCCATCCTACCTCACAGGGTGGTTGTTGTGGGGATAAGACTGAGAACAGGAGGAGGTGAGCTGCCCTGAGAACTTTAAAAAGGAAAGGAGCGGGATATTACTCTGATAAATTAATTTATCAATAATGTTTATTTTTAGAGTGATCTGTTTCATGCAATAGAGGTTAAAATGCATAAAATATATCTTACCTGTGGTTACAGGGTAAAAGAAAGGTCCAAGATAAGGTGCGTCCAAACCAGAGAAAGTAAGACTATGTGCATGTCTTGACTTTTCCCTCTTAATAGTGCATTTTTCCTTCTTAATTATCATTGAAAGGCTCTTTTTTGAATTTGCCAGCTAGACTTTTGTGTGGATGTTTTGTTTGATTTCACTAAGAGCTAAGACTAATGCCTTTAGTAAACCATGTAAGACTGGTTTCAATGGGATGCATAAGCAAAGCAGAAATTCATGTACCTGTCTCATGCACAACTTGATACATGCTATTAATCTGCTTTGCCTTGCACTAAATAAGTACCTGCACCACTGTGTCTGAAGTAGGTCCTGATGTCTGATGAGCACCACCTTGAAACAGGATGGCTGGTTTCTGCTTTAAAAGCCTGAAAGAGGACCAGAGTTGACTCTGTCCCTTATGTGCAGTTTCAAAGCCCATTGGAGCCTCACAGCTGTGCTTTCTGGAAAAATGGGGAAAACAGCACTGCTAATGGGCTCTGCTGAACCCACTACTCAAGCTGTGAATGGCTCCAAAACCATTACAAAGAGATGCACAGTGCCTGATTGCATCGGACTGTAAAATATCTATTTTCCTATCACCCAGTGTACCACTTTCTGAAAAGCCAGCATGAGAATCCAAAGAATGAAGGCAGCATTCTGTTCTTATATTGAACACAATGTTTTCTCCTCTTTAAATGTCTCCCTAAAACTCCTCCTCTGGTTAAGACAATGTAAGTCTATTGCATGATATTCTGCCTGAAGACTATTGAGCACGCATTGCGAACTGCATGGCGAAATTTGGTTTGCTATATAGTGTGACAGACTATTATGACTTAGAGGTTAATGGACTTGCTGAGTAAATGGAAGAAGCAAATTTGTATTGCATGGTCTGAAAAACTAAAATGCGCACGCACACACACCCCTATTATATCATGAAGATACACATTCAAATATTAGAAATTTTGTATTTGTGTTGGGCTTAAAGAAATCTCTTCAGTGTATGAATTAATGTAGGAGAGCTGGGAGGAAAATCCCATTCATGTTCTTGTCCCAGCAAGTTATACAGAAAGCTGTGGAAGCCTTTTGAGATGCTGCCTCCACTGCCCCCATTCCCACCCTGCACCTGTGACTGATCTACCAAGATGTAGCACTTGCTCCCTCGCAACCAGTGTTGAGAAGCAACAGTTTAGCCACTGTCCGTACACTGTCTGGACACTTTGCCTTACTTCCTTTTCTTCAGGAGTCCAATCCCTCTTTTCCAGCTTAGCTATCACTAAGGGAAACATTGGGATTTCTATTTAATCAGGATCTGAACCCGATATTAAATTCTGTTTCAGGTTCTCGTAAAATGAGAATCTGGGTTACCAGTGAACTGAGTTCACACTGGTGATTAGTAATGAGTTGTTGAACTAGTCAAAGCATCTTAAGTGTCCAGTATTGGTCAAGCAGAGTACTTCATAAAGAGAGTTCCACAGAGATATCCTATAAATTCCACTGATGCAGAAGTAAGCAGAGTAATTTAAAATTCCTCCAGGACAGATTTCACACTGACTAGTGCTCTAAATTCCAAAATGTTTAACCTGAACAAGAGCTTTGAGTTACACAATGGTGATCTATTAACTACTGCAATGAAGAAGTCTCCAAAATACAGACTAACCATAATAAACAATTTATTATAACTTGTCCCCTGTTCCATTTTGAGTGGACACTATATAATGAACAGTGAACAGAACGGGTCGCCAGTGAGAGGCATGGTTTTGGTAGAAGCTTACTGTTCTCCAGTAATTGGGTTGGTTAAAAATGTCTGGAAACCCCTGCCATAAATGGATTCAAAACTAGGTTCTTGTTTTCATGCACTTCAAATGTTAGAACTTTCCTGTTTGGGAAATGCTTTCGTTTTGGGCAAAGCTCACGAACCATGTGTGTCTTCTGCTGCAGTCATGCGTAGCTGACCTAGATGGGCATCGTTTTACTCAGCGAGTGATCAAGTAGAAGCTCACGCAATCCGGTCAGCTGACTCACAGAGGTCTTGGATGGGTAACCTTGTTTGTAGGCAGCAATATATGTTCAGAAGCAGAGCAGGACATGTTAGATTGAAGAAGAGTATTGTGTATGAACATTGTCTTGAGGAGGGTTCTACACAGGCTTCTTGGAGTGAGACTGGCAAAGAGAGGCCGCTGTGCTCAGTGGAATCCTATTTGGCCAGCTGCTTGGGATGAAGGGTTCCAGGCAAGGCTGTCTCTGCAGCAGGCTTCAAGCAGCCAGATGTCTTGGGCCATTCCTTCACCATAACATTGCAGAACAGTGCGAATGATTGCATTAACGAGAAAGTAAAATCAGTATACAATGTGATCACTCCTTCATGAGTGTCACTGAAATTGGCATTGAGTGTCAGTGGAGGGGACTGAACTTTCAACTATTTTTTCTCTTTAAAGATCAAGTCTGAGAGGTCATATAATTGGCAAGATTCATTACCTCAAATGCCTGTATAAGCAGAGTAATGAGCCTGTTATTTATGCTCATTATAGCATTAGCTAAGTGTGTTTGAAGCATCAGAAAAAGAAACACTACAAATAAGCATAATGTAATTACTGAAGAATTACATAGTGCTTTGTGTTTATAATGAAAATTATTACCAGAAATAAGCTTTCTATTCTAAACGTAATGTAATTAAAACTATAAATAATCTTTTAAGAGTGGAAGAATATGCAGTATGTGCTACAATATAATAATTATAAAGCTCTGTGTCCTAAAAATTAGGACACATAATTGTATTTTATGTACTGAATAATCATTCATATTCTACAAGTCAGCTCCAGTATGTCAGTAATTTAATTGATTATAATATTTTTGAGCATTTGTTGCTTTTTATGTTGTTTCTTCCCTGTAATCACATAGTAGCTAGCATGTATTTCAGGCAAGATATGATTCTTTAGGAAATGATTCCAAGCCTCTGAGATGGGAATTAAATGTTCCTAGTTCTTCTTTATATTCTTTTGTGATGAAGGGCATCCCCCCCCCCCCCCCCCCCCCCACGGGAGCTGAGAAATAGCATGGAAGCTTTTGTTTGTTTGTTTGTTGGTTTTATTGCATTTCTAATCCACCCAATAATCAATGTTCACTAGCAATAAGACATGGGCCTGTCATGCCCTGAAATGGAAATGGATGCCTAGGGCAGAATTGTAATGGGGTGGTTTGCACATATATAAGGCAGAACGTTTAAATACTTGGTGATATACTTTGCTCTCCCATTGTAAGCAGAAGTGGCTAAATGAAACAGGCTCCTTTCATCTGTGGTTTGGTTAGTATTGCCTGTGCTAACAGACATGCTGCTTCATTTTCTACAAGGAAGATTTTAAAAAGGCTGGATTGTCATTATGTGAGAAATAGGGCATTGTAGCACAGCTGTCCCTGCATGGCATGACTGTAACATTGCTTTTATGACAGGGGCATGAGTCTTTCTGTGACCCATCATAAAGCAGTCTTTTAGCTATGCCATGCAGGTGCATTTTCAGTCTTTTGGATTGTGCTGTGACATATGAATTAGGGTGGTTTTTTATTCTGCCCTGTCAATTATAACTTGTGTTATATATATGTCCAAATCAAAAGGCTTCTAAGGTCACTCTTTGACTTCCAGTGTAGTTGCTTCTCAATGTACAGTATTAGTAGACTGTACCACCATGCAACTAAAAACACTTTTTCAAGATTGTGGCCATTCTTTTATTAGTCCCTGATCAGTATTAATCTCAGAACCACTTGACTTGTAAAATCTAATTTCTGTCATGGGAAGATGATACTCCATTGTGTTCCTTTAGTGGACTTTCTAGCTCAGGTATTGCAAATATAACACTGAGAATGTCTTACTATACAGTTATTTTAATATACTCTTTTGGACTTTAATCTCAGTGATGAAAAGATCATTACTCATTACTCAGTCAGTAGAGCTCGTGGATGTGGACAAGGTGCTTGGACAGGTTCATGCAATCACCTCTTTACTGGTTTCTTCCCCCTCCTGGCTTATAAAATCCAGTAAGGAAGGCATAATCTGCTGGACCTGGGAGGTCATCAGTGCCTCTTTGGGAGAGGGAATGATCCCATGCTGCCTTAAAAAGGCGGTGGTGAGACCACATCTCAAGAAACCCTCCCCTGACCTGGAAAATTTGAACGACTACAAGCTGATAGTAAATATTCCTTTTCTGGGCAAGGTTCTATGGAGGGTGTTTGCCAGTCAACTCCAGGCACTCTTGGATGAGACTGATCATCTGGGTCCATTTTGGTCGGGGTTCAGGCCTGGGTTTGGCCCAGAAACAACCTTGGTCACCCTGTATGATTACCTATGCCAAAAAGGAGATGGAAGTGCAGCCCTGTTAATACGGCAGGACCTCTTGGCAGTTGCCATACCATCAACCATGGTATCCTCCTGGAGTTGGGAGTGGGAGGCACTGCATTGCAGGAGTCCCACTTCCATGAAGGGCTGCCTCCAGAAGGTGGTGCTCGGGGAATGCTGCTCAGCCTTGTGGATTCTCCAGCATGGAATTCCTCAGGGGTCTGCTCTGTCCCCCATGCTATTCAACCTCTACTGACATGGACCGCTGACTAGGTCCATCTGGAGTTCTGGAGTGCGCTGCCATCAGTATGTTGATGACGCATAGCAATATCTCCCCGTTCATCAACAGTAGGTGAGACTGTGGGTGCTAAACCAGTGCCTGGCTATGATAGTGGACTGGATGAGGCCCAACCAACTCAAACTCAATCTAGCCAAGACTGAGATGCTGTTGATGGGTGAATCTTTTGACCAGATGGGGGATGTTCAGCCTATTCTAGACGGGGTCGCACTCCCTTGCAGGAACAGGTTCGTCACTTAGGGGTGCTCTTTGATCCATCCTTGTCTCTTGAGGCCCAGGTGGTCTTGGTGGCTCAGAGTGCCTTCTACCAGCCCTTGCTGGTGGCCCAGCTGCTCCCCTACTTGGGCAGGAGTAGCCTGGCTTCAGTAATCTGCTCTGGTAATCTCTAGATTAGATTACTGCAATGCACTCTATACAGGCTACCCTTCAAAATGGTTCAGAAACTACAGCTGGTGCAGAATGTGGCAGCCAGATTATTAACTGGGGCCAAGAACATATAAGACCATATAAACCTGCCTGCATTGGCTTCCTGTATGCCTTCAGTCCCAGTTCAAGGTACAGGTCTTAAAGCCCTGCATGACCTGGGGCCACGATAGCTGTCAGCATGCCTCTCCAGACCCTGATCTACCTGGACACAATGCTTAGCCTCTGGGGCCTTCCTCTGGGTGCCAACCCCTCTGGGAGCTCAGAACCTTCTCTGTGTTGTCCCCCTATATTTGGAACAACCTTCCTGCTGTACCTTGCCTGGTACCAGATTTGCTAGATCTTTGTAATTTTCCTTTTACTGTTTACTGCTTTCTACTATTTAAAATGAATTTTAACTCTTAGTTGTTCTATCTATTGTATTTTATTGTTTTTATACCTTTTGTAAACCGTCCAGAGAGCTTTGACTATGGGCAGTATACAAATATAATGATTAATGATAATAATCCACATTGGAATTGCAGTAGTTCAGTAGGGGCTAATTTGTAGGTTTGATTATTATGATAATATTCCTCTTTAAGAATTTTATCTTAATTTGCCTTGGACACAGAACACTGAAATCTGTAAACCACTGATGTAAATTTTTGTATGCATTCTTAATGCAGCTTTTATCATTCTTGAAGTTTCCTGCTTTGACGGAGTCACCAAAAATTATTTTTCAGTCTGTGTGACTTTTCTTTTATCAAATGACTTCCAGCTAGTGATATACCTTATAAGAATTGCTTCTTAGGATTTACCCTGTTCAGTCAATAGATGTAGTCACTACTTAACCAAGGAAAAAAGGTTCTATATGAAATGTTACTGTGAAAATGAGAATGGGTACTTCTGACCCTCCATATTTCACATGTAGAAAATGCCTCTTGAAGCAGGTAGTAGATTTCTGCATTTATTATAAATTGAAATTATTGGACATTCATTCTAGACACATTAATGCCAAGGAAGGTCTAAGGATTTCCCTCTGCCATGTGTCTTAGACTTATGTATGACTGTAAATATCACAGCTCATACAGAAAGTATGTTATTGTCCTGCAAGGAAAGTTGCATTCTCTGCTTATCAAAAGAGCAGAAAATTGAAATTATTTTGAAATCCTGATCTTCAAACACATGGCAAATCAAATGTTGTCACTGATAAACTGTTTTAATATCTGCTAATGGTGGCTGAGTTGTAGGTCAGATTTTATAAAAACAAAGCAATTATATTTTAGGTAGACAGTTCCTTGAGTTCTACAGTTCTCCCATCCTGTGGTATAAAAAGTAATTTCTGTAAATAATTTCTCATTGTGTTTTATACATTTGTTTAGCCCAAAGGATACCTGTGCAAAACACAAAACTCTAAAGAAAAATGCCTGGAGTATGCAGCAGCATTTTTCCACAAAGATCAACATCTGATTGAACATGAAATTTGATAATGGTAGTTAGAAAGGTGATCCTAAGTGAAGTTGATTGATATAATATACCATCTGTTCAGTTTAAAGTAAAAGTTTTCTTTCTGTAAAGTATGTCGCAAGCTGTCAAAACATTGTTATGAAGAGTGAATTCCAACTAGAACATTTAAAATGTTTTGCATGCCCTCTTAACACACTAAAAGCCTGAATTTTATTAAGAACACTATTCATATTTGAAAAGAAAAATCACAAATTAATTGGTATTGCGGATATAGGCATGAATATGATTTCTTTTGTCATTTGGTTTCGTTCTGTTAACCCAATAAGAGATGTTGTTTCTATCACTTTACACAGATTTACCGCCTTGTTTCACTTATAACAATAGCCATAGTATTATTGGAATGGTCTTTTGAATTTCTGCTTGTGCATTATTTGTTATGCAGGCTTTTCTGTAAGCACAAACCTTCACATTAATCACATTAAGACTTTGCCATCCAAATATCTCATAGACTGTTAAAACAAGCTACAGTTCTTACAGCAATGTCTTTGTTTATTAGAAAGCCAAACTTGGACCTTCAGCTAACAAAGTCATATCACCAGTCGAAGACCAAAGCAGTCATTTGCCATCCAATAATCTTGATCGGGTTAAGCTGACCGATTTCAACTTTCTCATGGTCCTTGGAAAAGGGAGCTTTGGGAAGGTAGGAAACCCTAGTTCTTTCTTGCATGTAGCTTATTTTACTTATTTTGCTTTTTCTTCTATTTACTATACATGTATGTGTGCTTGTGTATGTGTACTCATGAGGACCACCAATATGGATAACTTTAAAAGGAATTTTGGAATATGAAGAAATTGACAGAACCACTTGTCTATCGTAGAGGATGTGTGTTGTACCAGACTACTAGAGAAAGGCTAATATTGTTCCTATCTTCAAAAGTGGGGAAAGGAGGTACCTGGGAACTACAGATCTCAGCCTGACATCACTCTCTGGGAAAATTGTGGAACAGATTGTAAAGCAGTAATTCTGCAGACAGCTTGAAAACAATGCAGTGAGTTCTTGCAAGCTGACATGGGTTTGTCCAAAACAAATCCCGCCAGACTAATCTGATCCCATTTCCTGATTGGGCAGCCTCTGTAGTGGACTGTGGAAAAGCTGTGGACATGATAGATCTGGATTTCAGCAAAGCCCCATGATATCCTGATTAGCAAACTAGCTAAAAGTGCTACAGAATCAGACTCAAGAGTACTAATTAGTGGCACCTTCTCAAACAGGGGAGTGGTAAATTCAGTTCTTTGCCCAGTACAGTAATACCTCGGTTCACAAATGCTTCTGTTCGCGAACAATTCATTTCGCGAACAGGAAGTTTGGCAAAATTTTGCTTCCGTTCGCGAACTCCGCATCAGGTGACGAACACGATCGCGGCCCTCCTTCCCCCATGAACACGATCGCAGCCATCTTCCCCACTTGAACATGCTCTGACACTGAGGGGAGATACGATAGCACTCTTCAAGTACTTGAAAGGTTGTCACACAGGCGGCCCAGGATCCTATAATCCCAGAGTGCAGGACATGTAATAAGTTACAGGAAAACTTGACTGTTAAGGCAATACAAACATGGAACCATTATTTTTATTTAAGAGGTTGTAGAAAGAACAGTAACATTCCTAGAGTTTTCATGGAAGTCTGGAACTGAATTACCAGAATACCTTGCCCATTGCCTTGTTTCTTGCAGCTAGCATGATTTCTACCCTCACCTTTGTTTTTGTGCAGGTGATGCTGGCAGAACGGAAGGGAACAGAAGAACTGTATGCCGTCAAAATACTGAAAAAAGATGTGGTGATTCAGGATGATGATGTAGAGTGTACCATGGTTGAAAAGAGAGTCTTAGCCTTGCAGGATAAGCCCCCTTTCCTAACAATGCTTCATTCTTGCTTCCAAACTGTGGTATGTGTTCACACACAACCTTACTCTCTTCTGACTCGTCTGGCAGGATAGTATTTACTGTGCTCATATTACAGAGCTTTTGGATTCTTTGAATGCCTCAGGAAGCTAGTGGTAATTATAGTGACTGAGTTTTTACAACATGGCAACCCTTCCTGGATAACTACTCATGGTAGGTTGTAATGTCATCCAAACCCAGACCATTTCCCAAAAGGTGGCTTTGTTTGTAGCAGAAAACCACCCTGGCTTTTTTTAGGAGTAGTTGAACCCACACTGGGTAGTCCTGTGGTTTGAACCTGGGAGATTGAGTCTCATCACGATCGAACGAAGCACCCAATGAGCCATTTGGCAAGAGCAGAAAAAACCCTTGTCATGCTTGGTGATCTTGCCTGTTCTACTGCTAGTGGCAGTTGCTCTCGTTACTCTTTCTTTTATAAGTGTTGGGACAACAGAAATACACATAACAGAACGTATTTTTTAAAAAATTAAATTGGTCTTTTGCAGGTGTGCACTTAAAGCTCTCAGTATGTACAATCTTGCCAGGCCAACAGCCCTGTAATTAACTGCTGTCGAAGTGCAGAAGGTACTTTTAGCAAAAGCACTGAGCCAGTAATAGTCAGTGCAGAGTGCCAGTTGGACATTGGTGGAGTCGCCATTACTGGAAGAGCAACAATCATGAACAAATTGGGGTCCTGATCAGAGCAGGGATGGCAGGGCTGTGGAGTCCTGGCTGGAGTAGCAGGCAGAAGGAAGAAGGGAATGGTAAGCCTGCTCTTCAGAAGAGGAGAATGGCTTATTGCTGGCTCAGGGGTCTGGGACCTGCTTTTGCCTCTCTCTTCCCAGGGAGTCAGAGGAAGAGGTTCTGGACACGGATACCAGCAGTGGAGCTCCCTCCTCAGGAGAGCTTGCAGGCAGAGCCAGAGATACTGGTTTAAACAGGGAACCTGGACTCTCCCTCAGAGGAGGCCCCCGAGCCAGAGATAAGCTCTTTCTGCCTGCTGAGCTGGAGCCCAGTGCCAGAGGGAAGTCCACCGCCTCTTCTGCCAAGCGCACAGTGGGCGGATGGTTCTGCACAGAACATGCACAGTGCAACTCATTCACAGGGTCGAAGGCCAAGCCATCTGGACTTAGCCTGTGCAGCTATGAGCAATGCATGTCTGCAGCAGTTGAAATACGGACAGAGTTCTAATTATACAGTCGTATCGATATTCTTTTGTTTGATGCTGGAAAATTCAGCCAGGGGGGTGAGGTAGGGAGTGATACAGTTGCAAAATTAAAAATGCACACGAATGCTGCGTTCAGAGATGGATGGACTCATGACATGTTGATGCCTGTAATGGTAGGCTGCATGTGTGAAATGGTCACTGCGGATAAGCTGTACAAACACGTACCGTTTTTGTGGTGCACCCTCTTATTCAGAAAGCAATACTGTCCCATAGGGCAGTTCACAAAAGGAGCTGCAAGTGATCATGCATCAGAACGTCACGAACCTGCATCCTACAGGGCTCTCATGAAATAATCTTCCCCATAATCTTCCCCTTCCTGGCTTGAACCTCCATCTAAGGTTGTTTTCGGTCCTCTCTTCTCCCATTGGAAGGGTGGTGAGGAAGAAGGTTTGTCTGTGTGTGAAGGCCTGTATTTGTGAGGCTCGTGCCCTAGGAGAAGATGGGAACAACCTTCATCTAAGTTGCATAACAGATCAGGGTCAAACCTAGATGTAATGCTGTAATTGCATTTTCCCTTATGTAAATAGCAGCCACAGCAAAACCTGGGACGCCTCAGGACCAGGGAGGGTTTTGCTTTCCTTATCTATGATAGTATTTTTATTAATTATTATATTAAGAGAAATTTTTACAACCCAAAATAGTTCTTAAACATGGTGTTTCACCCAGATTAATAAACATAACTGAGGTTACTAGGGCCATTCCTTTTTGGAACAGTGAGAAGAGTAAGGTACTGGACATTGTTGCATTTCAATTAATGTTCCCAAGGAAAAGCAACAGAAGCTAACATATAAAAATAGGCAGATTAAATTAATGAGTTTCTCTCTTCTAAATAGACTTTGAAATGTTTGAAATAAATAAATAATAGACCCCAAAAAGTGGGCTCTAACAATTCCCATGTCATCGTGTACCAGAAGCTCGTTTTCCTTTCTCTCCCAGTACATGCTAAACTTTGCAGTTGGCTCAGCTGTCACCCAGGTGAGACTGACATGGCTGATGGATTCCACCTGGGATGCTCCAGGTATCACCATACTCTCAGTGAGCTGCAGAGATGTTACTTGGTGAAACATGGAGGGCATCCACCCTCTAGTTCAGGGATGGAAGCTTGCCGCCCTCTGTTGTTGCTTTTATTAATAAGAACAGCAACATTTATATACTGTCTTATTTACTAAAAGGTCTTCATGACACTGCTGTTGAAGGACAACTCCCATCAGCCCTACCTAGCACAGCCGGTGGTGAGGGATTATAGGAATAGCAGTCTACCACTCAGTGGAAGCCACTCATTCCCCATTTCTGTTCATTCAACAAGCAGGTAAAACCTGCAGTAACTCCACAGGGGGTGCACCTTTCATGTTTCATACGTAGCAGACCACTGTCCAGGTAACTGCTGCTCTTGACTCTTTTTGTTATTCCTTGAACCCTATCATGGCAAATGCCCTATGTAAAGTATTGCTCCTAAATATGTTTCCCTGGGTGTAAATCTCTAGTAAGATTTTGTGAGTATGTGCATATGCATAGGAGAAACTGAGAGTGAGGAGGTGGAATCTTGCAAATTAACATGGTAATCTTGATTTACTTTCTCCTTAGAAATAGAAATAGAAGATTTGGAAAAAGACCCCCCCCCATTCCTTACAGATTGGGTTAGCAATAAGTAATGTTGTTTTGAGACCATGACAAAAAGCAATGTGAGCTTTTCTAAAAAATAAAAAAGAGCTTTGATACTAACTTTATTGTAGCTATAAATCATTGTTATTGTGAGCTGACAATTTTTGCTACCGTGTTCTCAATATATAGATACACTTAAGCTTATTTCCCTCCCCATCCCACAGTGTTAGCAATTCCACTGTGGCCCTCTCTGTTGCCTGACATATTTGTTGATTTCATATTGTGTGCTAGGATCGCCTGTACTTCGTCATGGAATATGTGAATGGTGGTGACCTCATGTACCATATCCAGCAAGTAGGAAAATTTAAGGAGCCCCAGGCAGTGTGAGTTTCGCTTTCTGTTGAATTTTAAATGAAAGTTGCTCTTTAATATTTTGTTCTAATACAAATATTATATGAGTATTATATGTTACTTTGTCCCATCCTCTTCCCCTCCCATTTTTAGTGCGTGTAATTGGCATAGCTTCACAGTAACTCTGGCCCATCTATATTGGAAAGACTTTAAACCATAATTATATTTCAGAGAGCTGTCATTTCAATTAACATTAGTATAATTAATCCTTTGAACATTTTTAAATCAGTTCTATTTCTTGTAGCTTTGGTGTGAGTGAGAAAAAAAAAGTTACAGGCTAGTATACTACTGTGTGAATGCCAGTTCAGACTGCTTATGTCCAAACAATTGTCTGTTAATGAACATAGTCTATTCTGCTATGAACGGTCATGGATGATAGTCCATTTTATCCAACGCATGAAGTGTTATCAAGACTTTTGGGTATATATACAGTACATATGGCAGAGGAGCATTATAAATTGCAAGGTCAGAAGTAAATTAAATTCAGGAAGTGCTGACAGCCATGTTATTAACAGGGACCATTGACTGAACTGTTGCCGCTGCTGATAACACAACCGGTGCTGATAACACAAATGTTTTCGCAGTACGCAGGGTGCTAAAAATTCTTTATCACAGTTCAAGCCTTAGTGATAGAACTGTTGATGAATTCTGAATCAACAATCCACAGCTCTAATCTCCATTTGAAGTTTGTTTGCTTCCAAGTGGCCGTTTTAAATTATCTTAAAGGGAAAGGTCTAGACCTTTCAAGGGATTTGCCTGCTCATGTGTAGGGCAAAAGTAGGGAGAGGCCATGTGTGCTCCACCCCCAGTGTCTAGTCGCTGGTTAGACTCATGAAAGTCTGAAAGGGCTCTGGTATCACTTGCAGATGAGCATTTTTTCAGAGCCCTTTGCAAATCTTGGTGCTCCACAGGAGAAGGTCTAACCAGCAGCTGGAAGGGAAGGGAAGTTATGCATGTAATTCCCCACCCATACATAGGGAAATTGTGGGTGGGGAATTACATGCATCCAACATCTCTGTCCCCCTTTTCCTCTTTGGTACGCAGGTGAACACCTTCAGAGTGTCTGCCTGAATTCGAATTTATCAACCAGTTCAATTCTATCACATGTCTTAGGGTGTGTTGCCCTCTTTGCATAAGTCCCAGATATCTCCAAACACTGGGATAAGAAATAGCAGACTTCTCTCTTGTACTTGCAGGACATGGGATCATAGCACTAAGATGGGGTCCTGTGAATTGACAGGCAACGTGTTATCCCTGTTCAGGCATTCTAGCCCTCTCACAGGGAGGGAGAACCAGCATGTACATCTTCCCCTGCATCATGTCTCTGCCACCCTCCACATGTTGCGTAGTGGAGATTTGCAACGGGCAGCAAACCCAGTGCATCTTTTAGCAAGCAAGGATGCTAAGATTGTCCGCCATGCCCCTCAGGCTTCCCTGCACCCCCGAGCTTAGCTGAGTTCCTCACAGGAGCTTGTGGGAGGATTTTCTTAGCAACGGTATAGAGTTCCATGTTGTGATACAAAGTATTTTAGGATGACTTTGTTAACCACCAGCTTAACAAAACACTTGCTCTTTGAACTAGTTTGTTGATATGGCTGGTCAGTATTAAGACTTTGCCTGAATTTTGTACTCGCCTTGATGGCAGTGACATGGAGGCCATTAAAATGAGTGCCTGCACTTCAGCGTTTGCAACTAAGCCACTGCAGTGGGGAGTTGTTCCCTGGGTGGAGGTTTCTCTCCATAATTCAGAACACTTTACGATTAGGGTTTTAAATCAAACAGGGGGTAGCAACATGTCAGGCAGGTGCCATGCAAATGTTGCTCTCCAACAGACAGCAGGCAGCAGGGTTGGAAAGCCAGAACGAGGCTGAAAGCCTAATCGTGGCCCCAAGAGCCCTGCCACAGAGTGGATGGAAGCCAGCAGTTGACGAGGTTCACATGGTCACAGAGGGAAAGTGAAGTGCACAGACTTATTTCCCTTCTTCCCACATGCCACTTTTGAGCCACCTAGCTGCCATAATTACCCTCGCTGGGCACAGGCAGGCTGTGACAGTGGGTGGCTGGGGCGGTTAACAAACCCTGAGAAGGCTTGCTCTGTTGTAAAGTCACTGGGTGCACCTGAGTCAACCACCCTTGCCTGGTTCAGACATCAAGACAACATGCAGCTGGCAAGGGCAGATATGCTGATTAAGTGCCTCGTGATTGGCCATGCAGAAACTTCCTTTTGCCTGAAGAAAGTAAGCCTCAGTCAGTCATTTTCCCTTTGTGATTCTGCGAACCCAGTCCAACCAAGCCCAACCCAACCTTTCCTGAAATCATTCTCCTGGTGCATGAACAATGCCCTTGTACCTGTTGCAGTATCTGCTGATTGATTCCCTTATGGCTGTTTACATTGTGTGTTCAGCCTGGATTCATTAGAAGGAATTGGCACGTATCTCTTGACTCTTCTTTTCAGATTCTACGCAGCAGAGATCTCTGTGGGACTTTTCTTTCTCCATAAAAAAGGAATAGTTTATCGGTGAGTATTCAGTAATATACCAACTTACTTTTGTTTGCCGCATAGTACAAATGTTGTCACCAGTGATGAGAAAGAGATACTGTGGGAAAACAAGGAGAGAGGAAAGAAGACAGGCTGTGAACATCTCCAACACCATCAAAAGAAATTTGTTTGTATTTATATAACTTTTATCCTACTTTTCTACTCCAGACAGGTATTCTCAGAGCAGCCTTCAGCATTATCCAACCAAAACAAAAAATGATTAAAATCATGAGCCTTTAAAATGTTTTTAAACAAGAGCAGATAAAAACACCAGTGCAGAGTTAGGAGATTAAACAAAATCAGAAAAGGGCAACAGAAAAGTTTTCACCCAGCTGTGGAAAAACACATAAGAAAAGTAGATTTCTTAGGAAAAGATGCAGGACATTCCATAATTGGGACACTGCTCAGAAAAATGCTCCTTCCCTTGTTCCCCATCCACTTCAGCTAGGTTGGAGGTGGCCCTTTTAAGGGTCAGAGGGAAGAGGGATTGGTACTTTGTTGCTGGTTTTTTGTAGTGAAGAAGACTGGGAAGTGGTTTAATTTAGAAAAGGGTGACATTGAGATGAGCTGGCATCTCTTGAGCGTGTGGCAAACTGAGCTACTTCCCTCCGGGTGCCATCCTGTATGTGTGGCTGCCCATAACCTCCTGAACTTAGAGTGACACAGGTGGCGTTCCAGGGAGAGCAGGCAGAGCACAGAGGCAACCTGATTACCCTCATGCTTCTCCTGTCCCAGTGGTTCATGCTCCTCTCTGTCCTTGGCTGCTGCCTGTGAGAAGGAAGGACTGCAGTTCTTCCTGGATTCCACATATCCTCCCCTCCCTGCCCTCCAGATTGCCTCCTGCACTGGCTCTGAGCCACAGCTGCCAGGCAAAGGACTCTGCTGGTTACATGGACAGAGTTAAGGCGAGCCATTGTTGAAGTCCCAATTCTTACCTCAGAAGGCATTTTTTGAGACCAGAGCTGGCCCAGCCTATCCTGTGGCTGTCGAAACAATGTCTAAGAGCCATAAGATTGCACCCTTAGTCATTGTTTTAGGACAAGGGTGGGTAAAGTGGTGCCTTTGGGCACCAGTATGCACTGGGCACCATTTCTGGTACTCGCCAAGCACCATACAGCAGTGGAACCAGCTGCCTGGAGAGGGGGTGGGCTCTCCCGCACCAGAGACATTCAGAAAGACACTGGACAGCCCTCTGAGTGGGATGGTGTAACGTGGTGTCCTGCAGCAGCAGGGGGTTGGACCCAGTGACCTTCGTGGCCCCTTCCAACTCTACTATTCTATGATACCCCTCCCACTTTTGTTAATTAGCATATTTTCTTACCAGCAGCTGGGATTGCTGTAAACTAGGTTTCCGTTAGTGCTGAAAGCTGTGTGTTTGGATCAGGGTGTTGGAGCTCAGACATGATCTCTGCCTTTGGGAAGGCTACTTACCATTTGGCACACATCCCACGGCAGTCTTTATGTTGTGGCACTTAGGACAGTTTCTCAAATAGCCAGACATTCCCAGAACCCAAAAAGTTGCCTGCTGCTTATTTAGAATAAAGCGTAACAAAAATCCAAATATATCTCTTTTCTGTAGGTATCTGCAGATAGTGCCACATATTATATCACCACATTAGAGCAAATATTAAAAGATTTCAGTCCTGCTTTATCTGTTCATTTCCAGTCACTTTATACATATTCATTTTTTTCAGTTTGTACTGAACCTTATTATTTTAGCTTTTATGGATTTATATTGTATTTTATTCTTTTTTGTTTTGCAATCTACCCTGTAAATAAGCACTATTATTAGATGGATCAAATCTCTAATAAATAAACAATAGCATGTAAAGTGAAATAAAAACATCATGAAACTAGAAGCTGAAGTCCTGCAAAAGGAGGCCATGTATTCAATTAAGTCACATCTGTAAAAGGTTTGCAGGCTTTTGAGAGTATCATCATGGAGAAATTCCAAAGTGTTTGATTGGGAAGCTTGTTCCACAGTCTTGTGGCCACCAGGAACAACTTGTCTAGACTTCACCTAATCTCAGGAGGAGGATGACATAATGTGGCAAGACGCTTTTCAGATATGCACTTCCCACAGTGTATATGGTTTTATGGATCGTTATACAATGGCTTTAGAACACAAAAAGAATTACTTTCGTTTGATAACTTTACAGGTAACTAATAAAATGGTCACAATTCAGTCTGAAGAAGTTCATTTTTCCCTGTTGCCATTGAGAAACAAATGGGAGTGAACTATAGCAGCTGAAGTTTCCAAACTCTATTTGTGAGCATTTCTTCAAAGAGCACTTTAGAGTGGCCAGTTCTTGTGGTTTCAAAATGTCTGGCTGCAATTACCACCTGAGACTCAAATGCCAGGCCAAAACTCCCATGTTTTTGAGTTAGTAGAATGGAATTACAGTTAATTCCCTTGCCTCAGAGCCCTCAAATCTCACACCAGCATCAGTTCCATCTTTTTTGTATCCCATTTCAGTCTGTTTATCCACCACAACCGCATCCTCCAAACGTAGTCCAAAACTAAGCATGCATTTTCTAATTATCTGTTTTGCTTGCTTGCTTGCTCCCTCGCTCACTTGCAAAAGTACACACCACTTTTAGGTTTAACAGAAATCTCTTGTCATGAGAAAGCATGTCAGTAGTGTCCTGACACGATGTACTGCAACTTTTAATTGCTGTAATTTCTCGCAGGGATCTGAAATTAGATAATGTAATGTTGGATCATGAAGGACACATCAAAATTGCAGATTTTGGGATGTGCAAGGAAAATATGAATGAAGGAGTACTGACAAGGACATTCTGTGGGACGCCAGATTACATTGCACCTGAGGTAATTCTTATTTGAGACATTAAACAGCATACACACGTTCTCCTGAAGGACTTGTGAAATGCACATTTGATCAATCTATCTAGTAGATCTTCTAACTGTGCACCCATGATGATGAAACAGTGGAATTGCAACAAAGGGGCCAAAACTAAACTTGCCTAGGCTTTCTCCAGCCATTGGGGAGTGCTGAAGGGATACTTCCTAAAATGACTGACTCTTGCATGGATGGTTTGCCCTGTCCTACTGGGTTTGTCCAAAAGGAACCAATGGACAAAACAGGTTTCTTTGAGATTTAGGAAGCCCCAAGTGTGGAACCAAGGGGAGGAAAAATGACAAATGATAGTAAGAAAAGGAATGAATACGAGCCTATCCAATGGCAGTAACTTCACCATTGATCTTCAAAATATTTTGACATTTTTCTGTCAAAAATATATATTAATAGAAGCAGAGCATATGTCTAAATAGACATTCAGACAAAAACAGATGACCATCAGATGTGCATTTAACTGCAACAAGAGCAGTTAAAGACCTCCAGTTCATTGAATGGCACGTGGTTATCCTTCCAAGCCTGCATATATAAGTTCTCTTGCCACTGGTAGGACTCTTAGTCCAATTCTTCTGTCCATCCTGACATCACAGGAATACTGTTTTGAAATGCAGTGGTATCCACAAGTATCACAGCTTGTTCAAGAACAAAATTAATATGGGCAGTAAGTTCCAAGCAGTAAGAAACCCCCACAGGCAGGGTGGCATCATGTGCTTGGCAGAGCTACCCAACCTTTCCTTAACCAGCATCTGTGCTGCCAATATACATGGAACATCAAGGCTTAAACCTGAAGAAATTGTGACCACTTACCTCATTCATTGAGAACACCTGAAGAAGAGCCTCTCTGGGTGATCTTGGAATCCAAGCAAATAGACATGGAGGGAGGCAGTGCTTCAGGTAACTTGTAAGTTGACACCAATACTTAAGAATTCGGACCAGAAATGGACAGGTGACCCAAACTGACCATAAAGCTTTGAAGTAACAAAATGTAAGTGTAGCAATGTTCAATTTGTATGCAGGACCAAAGGAAGGCTTGGAGAATGTGGTGAACCTGTTTGTGGGGCTTAATTTATGCACAGGGCTGTTGTGTCCAGGTGGGTGCTCAGGGTGCCATTTTTGTCTGGTGTTCAGCTGGTTGTGCCATGCCAACCTGGGCAGCAGGAGTTGTCCAAGGGCTGGATTACGCTCAAGTAACTGTGAAACAAGTGATAGGGTTTCCCACAGGTAAATTAAGCCATGGTGGATTGTTGTATCCTTCTCTGTACCCATTCTGCAGTCAGGATCCCAGGGATTCAGGGTGTATTTAATGTCAGCCTAACTTGAGCCCTATCTATTTCAGTGAGTCTACTCTAAGTAACAGTGAATAGACTCCATAAGTAAAACATTGACAGTAAAAATCAGGATAGCCTCCCATTTAAATCAGCCTCAATGACATAAAGAAGGAATGGGTACTAACTTCATGTCAGAACCTCAGCTATCACCTATTAATTTAAGTTCCCTAGCAGCAAAACTCACTTTCACATTGGATGCCTTCAGACACAGGGCTTCTTGCTGTAGCAGTCAAAAAAGCACTATGCAGATACTCTGATTTTCCTTCCTTAACCATTTTTTTTCTGGAAAGCACCCACAGTAATACTACTGCTTAGAGAAAGATGATCTGAATGTTGTCACCTGTTGAAACGCCACTGCAAGGGCCCCAGACTTTTCCCTGAATGGGCAAGCAAGATGAAACAACCTTACAAAGCAATCCGTTTTCTTCAAATGAAATGGTGGAAATCAGTTTGTCCTGGAAAAATGGATCTGGATAAACTGGCTGTGGCATTATAGCACAATCCTCTGCAAGTCCCACTGTGCTCAAAGAGTGCTGTCCCCCAGAAAGTGTGTATTAGACTTTCATCATTTTCACTCCAGTAATATAGCTTCAGTCAAATATGTTCACAGGTTATACATTTATGATTAAAACTATAAAAATGCGTTTGTCGTTGCAATTTGCAGATCATTGCTTATCAGCCATATGCAAAGTCAGTGGACTGGTGGGCCTATGGGGTACTGCTATATGAGATGCTAGCTGGACAGGTAAGAGTCAACTGCTTTAATGAACAAACACTGATGTGAACTGCAAAATAGATGTGAAGGACATTACAGTAGCAACAAGACCTGGCAGCATCCTTGTTGGATGAATGGTCAGATCAAGCCTGTTTTCCAACCCACTCTGAAGGATGCACAGTGAATAGTGCCTCGGCTTTTATTATGAACCTGTTTCTATGGGCATGCATAGAATCTGTTTAAAAACAAAAAATGCACATACTGAGCAGCACAGTTCAGCTAAAGACAACATAACAATTTTGTTCAATTCACTTACTTGTGGAAAAGTGGTGCAAGTAATCCTCTGAGAAGCTAGTTCAGAGTATCTACAGAATTTCTGCTCTTTAAACTCGGTCACAAGAAAGCGATGCTGTTTTTCTTCTCAATCAATTGAGGGTAGAGGAGGAAGACTCCATATGTAACAGCAGCTGGAGTCATGCAGCAGCTGGAGTCATGCATCTTTTACCTCTCACACTCATGAGATTTCTGGAGAGTCTTTGGTAACTTTCACACTGAAAGTATAATCTTGCCTTCCCTTTTGTAAAGCAATGCGGAGTTTTAAAAACGTGAACATTAAGCATGTGATGTAAGTGTAAACTGTGTAAATGTAAAATTAAGTGTGGGGGTGGGGGAATTGAATGTATCTAATGAAATACAGACTTTCATTAAAACTTTGCTACTTGCATCATGGTGGTCAACTGTGGTGCTGGAAACAATAGGAGTAACATCAAATCCATGCCAACATGTGGTGCAGTAATCCATCCTGGAGTAGTGCCCAACCCCAGACCTTGGAATTAATTTTTGGCAAATTTGCCAGAAAGGTTTCGCTTTGCTTTTTAAAATGTATTTGTAAAATAAAGTAGCTTTATCCTACTTTCCTAACAAATGGTGCTCAAAGTGGTGAATAGCAATGAAACAGAAAGTAAAATGCAAAATTAAAATCAGAGACATAAAAACAAGGCAGGTGAAACACATCAGGAATGACATTACAGTGTGGTCTAGTGGTTACGAGTGCCAGAAGGGACTCTGGAGATCTGCGCCTAGTCCTCAGTTGGCCATGAGGCTCACTGCATGCTTTTGAAGTAACCATTGACCCTCAGCCTAAGCTACCTCACAGGGCTATTGTTGTGAGGATGAAATGAGAAGGAAGTGAGCTTTATAAGCTATCTTGGGTTTCTTGCAAGAAGAAAGGTGAGATATAAATGTAGTAACAATAATGGCAATCAACAACCAGATACACCAAATGTGTGACATCTTTACGATGGCCAAAATAGGGCAGCTTAGGAGGCCATCTCTGCTGGTTTGGTCTGCCAGAGGTCAGGAGCAGCCACCTGGAAGGCCTGCAATAACAGTCCTGCCAAATGGGCTTCAGGGGATGGCAGGAAGTTCTTAAATCCTTGGCCGGCTCATGTGGCGGGGCGATCAATGTTATCTGAAATAGCCAAGTTCAGTAGGGCCTCAGCTCTTTGCATTGTGCCCAGGCTATTATGACATGGGAGCTGTAAGCTGAATTTCCTAGCAAACCTTAGCTTTGGTTTTCTTTTAACAGCCTCCATTTGATGGTGAAGATGAAGATGAGCTCTTTCAGTCGATAATGGAACATAATGTTTCTTATCCAAAAGCAATGTCCAAAGAGGCTGTGTCCATTTGCAAGGGGGTAAGCATGCTGCAGTTGTCTGAGATGCCTTGTCAGCTACATTGATTAAGTCTCATGGATGTTAGCAGTTGATCTGTCAAGCATTTATACTTGGTGTTTACTGGATAGTGAGGGTGCACTTGTCTGTTTTTGCTATTTCACCTCCAGTCTCTTACACTAACACTCACTTTTGAAAATTCCACATACATTTATGCTTTAATTAGCCCCCCCCCCGCCCCATTTCAGCTACACTTAAACTTTCAACATGAAATCTCCTAGAGATTCCTGTTGTCACTGTAGAAAGTTCTCTACTACATCTGCACATCTCAGAAGCGAGGAGGCTGCAGATTAGGTTGCATGGGTACCAGATGCTAGTAAAGTTTCAGATCTTGCTGTGGCATCTATGAAACAAACATATAAAGATGACTTCTTGTTGTGATATTAAGCATTTTAGACCACATTACAAGATATTTTCATGATATGTTCTCCTAGGTTGCATTCTTCATTCTCATTCTGTGTGTGTGTGTGTGTGTGTGTGTGTGTGTTTGCGTGTATATGCTCTTGCATGACATAGTGGTATTGTTTTCCCTCTGGCCAGGAATTAGCAGTTAACAACAACAACAAAATGCTTATCGATATAACCAAAATGTCCTTACTCTATGAATAGTAAAATAATTGTGTGTTTGAATTATGTTGCCTGTGTCCCCAAGTATTCTGGAGGCTCTGAATTTCTTCTGTAGAAGTGGATGTTGCTTCTGTTTTGGAGTGCATGCGAATACTTAGAATGTGTGCAGCTTCCCACAGGATTTTGCAAGTAGTCTTGCAGCCTATCTACATTTAGTGCGACTAACTTGCACCTCTAGAGGGCATATGCTTCATTATTAGCCATTTGAGGAGACTCTTCTAGCCTGAACTCATACTTTTAGAAGGGTGTGTTGTCCATAAACTAAGACAAGACAGCTTTCTGACTTGATGGAGTCATAGTTATTTGAATGCACATGCAAAATTTCCTTCTTGCTAACTATTCCACTCAGTCCATCAGCAAGAGAGTGATCGGTTTCTAACTGGGAACTTTATTTTGTGACAACATAGGAAAAAGCACTGTGAAGAAACAGTTTCTGCTATGAGCTACTGAATGAATGTTTTAGATGTATTAATAGTGAGCAGTTCTTATGATTTTAGGCCTGAAATTTCTTTTAATCTGTTCTGCCCCCTTCCTTTTTGTTGTTCTATGAATATTAATTTTTTAAACCCTGTAGTTCTTACAAAAAGATTTGATTTTATCCATCACCATATTTCATCTGAATCCAACCTTCCACTGAAAACAGCATTCAAGATGCCTAACAGTGATAATATACAGGCTACAAAGAAAATCTCAGTATAATTTAAACATAGATCTGTTATCTCCAGGAATGAATGCCTCTGGCAAGCTGAGTGGTACAAACGTGCCCTGGCCATAATGGAAACCTGCACATCTTGGTATAGCGCTCAGTCCAGACGTACATGCAAGTTTAAGTCTCTCAGGGGAATCTAACCCCATCCAGCACAGCTTGTATCCCTGTTTCCGGATATGCCTCTGGACTAACCCAGAGCACCCCTGTCTTCTCTGGAGTAAACCTGACATTGTTCTAGAGCTGGGACAGCTTCCATGGATTTGCATGGAACGGAAAGAGAGTGCAAGATTAGTGTTAGAGTTCAGTGCCATCAGTGCACTGGTGGTACCAGACTCCCAATTTTTGGACAGCCTCTCCTACTAGTTCCATGTATGTATTAAAATGCACAGGGATTGTAAAACAATGGGTTGGATCAGGAATCATTGATCTGCTCACAGAAGAATATTGCAGGAAGAACAGAACGTTCTCTCCTTCCCACTGCAGCCCCCTGCAAATTGATTGCCTAATTCTGAGTTGACCCCATTGCTTTCAGGGCCCGTTTCAGACAGATATCTCCAGTAGGTACCATGGTCAATGATAGTGAGAGGTTCAGCGGAACCAGCAGAGTCCCTCTGTCTAGTTCTCAGCATGGACCATCCACCAAAGTTCACAAAGAAGTCGCTGTCCCATAGCCAGGCCTGAAGTCAGGTTCAGATATATTAAGAAAATAGCATTTTATCTTCAAACTGTTGTACAAAATTATGGCAACTGACTATTGTGAGGTCACAGTCTCATCACACTGGCCAGCAAGTAATAAGCTTTTGACCACCCAAAGCCATTCCTTTGGGTAACTGTAAACACTGAGTTGTGGAGGATAAAAATATCCGGTTGTCCTTTCTGTCATGAATTAGACTTTCAGATGAGCTCTGTCCTACTTGGCTGGGCTCATTCTGAGTTTTCTGCCAAGGTTGCTTTAGCTGTAATCCCTCATTTAATTGTCTCAGCTCCCTGAAAATCCAGGGAGCTTGCTTGGCTCTACTCAGTGAGAGTGCTTAGGAACAATTGTGTCAACAGCCTGGGCCAACTTATCCTATTCCATTGGTCATCCTGTGTGTCAGTAGAATCACCTACTAAGAGGACAAGAAAATCTCCAAGAGCCATCAGAAAACCATCAAGATACTTTGGCCTCCTGCAGCAGGTCCTCTTAATTGGCTTCTTACCCCCGCAGAGGCTCACAGCCGAAGCTCCACTGCCCAGGCCAATGGAACTAGAGAAAGTTCCTCCACCCCCATGAACTATTATGCCACCCAGCACAGAAAACCAAATCCAAAGCATGCCCTGCTGACTGAATGAAGCCAAAGACTTAGCAGGGCAGACCCATGGGGGCCATAAAGTCCTGAGCCACTGCCCATTTGTCTGTTGAAGTCCCTTGGGAGAACAAACCAGGAGTCACTCCAGCTAGCTCAGGAAGGAAGATGGTTGGGCAATGGGGCAGGCTGTACGCCAGCAGAAGCTTGTTCTGTGCCAGACACACACTTAGCACGAGAAGGGTACGGTCTGGGCGCTGAGCTAGAAATACAACAGATAAATGCAATTCTGTCTCCCCTCCCTCCAAGTCTCGTGTGTTGCAACATGGAGAACCCAGGTGGGAAAAGCTGATCCAGTCAGGTCGTCATGATACAGGCCAGCTTAGTACACTCAACCAGAATCAAGTCTGAGATAGTGGATGTTTTCCCACTGACATGGCATGAGGCAGCAGTACTTTCAGTCCACTTGGGTGGTCACCCCGTTCAGGCTCTCTGATATGCGATACAGCTTGGGAGCAACCAACACCACCTTCTGTTCCCCACCCCTATAACAAGCACCCCCATTCTGTCTCCCTGTACCTCCTTGTGCATCTCGCCTGCCAGAAGGCAGGAGCCACAGTTCTAAGAACAGTGTACTAAGCAGGTGCGAAAAGATACGGGCCCTCACTCCCTCCTTCCCTCTGCCCGGCAAATAGAACGGCGCTTGCCCTTCAGCCCTGAAATGGCTCCCCCAGGGGAGAATCCTTTCAGAGGTGCTCCTTTGGCCTCAAGTCATTAACGCCATTAGGCCTCAGCCCTAGGAGGCTAACGCACATGGGTACAAGGAAGGAGGAAGTCCCTGGAAGGATCATTTGTGCAGTGGCCCTGTTTTTAAAGGTGCCATGTCATCAGGTTTATCTGGCTCTCACAAACACAATTATGTAAATGCAAGTCATCAATAGCATGTGGCTCCCATTCCTGAAAACTACTCCTCATATCTTGTATGTTTAATGCCCAGTTAATGACTAAGCACCCTGCAAAACGTCTTGGCTGTGGGCCTGAAGGGGAGAGAGACATCAGGGAGCATGCCTTCTTTAGAAGAATTGACTGGGAGAGACTAGAAGGCAGAGAGATACAGCCTCCGTTCAAGCCTAAAGTGGTAAGTAAGACAAATAACACCTCCTTTGCCAATGAACCTATTTCCATGGCCGTGGAATGCAACAGAATGTTATAAACGCAATCTGTTTATTTGGATTTTTATATCCTGATTTCAGTGCAAAACTTCTGAGAGGGTCTTGGTGCAAAATTCAAGTCAGCTGTAACAAAAATTCAAAGATAACTAAATAGCAAGAGCTAAATAAAACAAATACAATTCTTACAAAAACATAAAAATACTTGGTTAAAGTTTTAGTAAGTGCAGATCTGATGGATCTGGGACATTGAAAAATTTCACCTGGTGCTTAAATGACTGCAGACTCAGCATCAGGTGCTACCCTTTGGAACTCAGCCCTGGGTACCACCAGAAAGACGGCCCTAGAACAGTGGTGGCGAACCTACAGTCCGTGTGCCACATCGGGCACACAGAGCCCGCTCTGTCGGCACATGAGCCAAGCCACCCCAGCATTGCCCCAGCAGCCGAGCATCGGATAAGAATGCCCACAGGGGCCATGCACATGCTGAGAAAGGAGACGTGGCACCAGGCATTGATGTCACGGGCCACAATTCATTAGGCGCGACCCATCTGAGCTTTCATATGGTCAGTCAGTACACTGCCAAGGATACCTATATATTTGTTCAGACTGGCTGTGAGTTGTTTTTTCTAAACTAAAATCGCAGTTGCCAGTTTTGTTGCAGTGTTGGCATTTTGCGACAAATAAGTGGGTTTGGCTGGGTTTGGGCACTCGGTCTCTAAAAGGCCTGCGATAGAACTACCAGAAGTACAGTCACTGCGATAGGGTTACAAAAACTAAGTGTCCTGGCATGATTTTGATGGTTGGAATGTGTTTAGAATGGGCAGAAAAGATGAGCTGGGCAGAAAAAGTTACTCAAGGAAGGCTTTTTCAAAATCGCAATCTTTTCAATGGAACTTTCGCCCTATATTGGTTAGGGGTGTGCACAAGGGCAGGGTTAGCGTTACATAAACAAGGTGTCCTGGCATGAGTTTGATGGGTGGAATGTGTTTAGAAAGGGCAGAAATGGTGAGCTGTGCAGAAAATGCTTCTCAAAGAAGGCTTTTTCAAAATCGCCCTCTTTTCAATGGAACTTTCGCCCCATATTAGGGTTTGGGGTATGCACCAGGGCAGGGTTGGGGTTACAAAAATGAGGTGTCCTGCCATAATATTGATGGTTGGAATGTGTTTAGAATGAGCAGGAAAGATGAGCTGTGCAGAAAAGGCTACTCAAGGAAGGCTTTTCAAAATCGCCCTCTTTTGAATGGAAATTTTACCTACATTAGGATTAGGGGTGTGCACCAGGGGAGGGGTAGGGTTACAAAAACGAGATGTCCTGGCATGGTTTTGATGGTTGGAATGCGTTTGGAATGGGCAGATACAATGAGCATTGCAGAAAAAGCTACTCAAGAAGACTTTTTCAGAATCGCCCTCTTTTCAATGGAACTTTCACCCTATATTAGGGTTGGGGGTTTCCACCAGGGTAGGGTTAGAGTTACAAAAATGAGTTTTCCTGGCATGATAGCCATAGTTGAAATGTGTTTAGAATGGGCAGGAAAGTTGAGCTGTACAGAAAAAGCTACTGAAGAAGGCTTTTTCAAAATCGCAATCTTTTCAACCAAACTTTCCCCCTTTATTAGGGTTAGGGGTTTGCACCAGGGCAGGGTTAGGGTTACAAAAAGGAGGTGTCCTGGCATGAGTTTGATGGTTGGAATGTGTTTAGAATGGGTAGAAAAGATGAGCTGGGCAGAAAAAGCTACTCAAGGAAGGCTTTTTCAAAATCGCAATCTTTTCAATTGAACTTTAACCCCATATTAGGGTTAGGGGTGTGCACCAGGGCAGGGTTAGGGTTACAAAAACGAGGTATCCTGGCATGATTTTAATGGTTGGAATGTGTTCTGAATGGGCAGAAAAGATGAGCGGTGTACAAAAAGCTACTTAAGGCTTTTTCAAAATTGCACTCTTTTCAATGGAACTGCGTTGTTTGTTGTTGTTGTTAGTCACGAAGTCGTGTCCGTTCCATCACAACCCCATGGACAACACTCCTCCAGGACTTCCTGTCCTCCACCATCTCCCGGAGTCCACCTAAGCTCACACCAACTGCTTCAGTGACTCCATCTAGCCACCTCATCCTCTGCCGTCCCCTTCTTCTTTTGCCATTTATTGTTCCCAGCATTAGGCTCTTCTCCAGGGAGTCCTTCCTTCTCATTAGGTGGCCAAAGTATTTGAGTTTCATCTTCAGGATCTGGCCTTCTAAAGAACAGTCATGGTTGATCTCCTCTAGGACTGACCGGTTTGATCACCTTGTGGTCCAAGGGACTCGCAGGAGTCTCTTCCAGTACCACAATTCAAAGGCCTCAATCCTTTTGCACTCAGCCGTCCTTATGGTCCAGCTTTCACAGCCATACATTGCAACTGGGAAAACCATAGCCTTGACTATATGCACTTTTGTTGGCAGGGAGATGTCTCTGCTTTTTAGTATACTGTCTAGATTTGCCATAGCTTTCCCCCCAGGAGCAAGCGTCTTTTAATTTCTTGGCTGCAGTCCCCATCTGTGGTGATCTTGGAGCCCAGGAAAATAAAATCTGTCACTATCTCCATCTCTTCCCCATTTATTTGCTAGGAAGTGAGAGGACCGGATGCCATTATCTTAGTTTTCTTAATGTTGAGTTTCAAGCCAACTTTTGCGCTCTCCTCCTTCACCCTCATCAAGAGGCTCTTTAGTTCCTCTTCACTTTCTGCCATTAGAGTGGTATCATCTGCATATCTGAGGTTGTTGATATTTCTCCCAGCAATCTTAATTCCGACTGGTGGTTCATCTAGCTCCGCCTTTCTCATGATGTGCTCTGCATATAAGTTAAATAGACAGGGCGACAGTATACAGCCATGCCGAACTCCTTTCTCAATTTTGAACCAATCAGTGGTTCTGTGTCCAGTTCTCACTGTTGCTTCTTGACCCGCATGCAGGTTTCTCAAGGGAGACAAATAAGATGGTCAGGTACTCCCATGTCTTTAAGAACTTGCCACAATTTGTTGTGATCCACACAATCAAAGGCTTTAGCATAGTCAATGAAGCAGAAGTAGATGTCTTTCTGGAACTCCCTAGCTTTCTCCATGATCCAGCGTATGTTGGCAATTTGATCTCTAGTTCCTCTCCCCCTTCAAAATCCTGACTGTACTTCTGGTAGTTCTCGGTCCATGTACTGCTGGAGCCTAGCTTGTAGGATTTTGAGCATCACTTTGCTGGCATGTGAAATGAGTGCAATGGTGCGGTAGTTTGAACATTCTTTGGCATTGCCCTTCTTTGGGATGGGAATGTAAACTGACCTTTTCCAATCCTGTGGCCACTGTTGAGTTTTCCAAATTTGCTGGCATATTGAGTGTAGCACTTTTACTGCATCGTCTTTTAGGATTTTGAATAGCTCAGCTGGAATGTTGTCGCCTCCACTAGCTTTGTTGTTGCTCAGGCTTCCTAAGGCCCATTTGACTTCACATTCCAGGATGTCTGGCTCGAGGTCAGTGACCACCCCATCGTGGTTCTCAGGGACATTAATCTCTTTCCTGTATAGTTCTTCTGTGTAATCTTGCCACCGCTTCTTAATCTCTTCTGTCTCTGTTAGGTCCCTGACATTTTGGTCCTTTATCATGCCCATCTTTGCATGAAACGTTCCCTTCCTATCTCCAATTTTCTTGAAGAGATCTCCGGTCCTCCCTGTTCTATTGTTGAACTGTACCCCTATGTTAAGGTTAGGGGTGTGCACCAGTGTAGAGTCAGGGCTTTGGTGGCAGACCTATGGCATGCATGCCACTGTGGGCACACAGCACCCTGTCTTTCCGCACTGAGCCAAGTCACCTCAGCATCGCCCCAGCAGCCGAGCATTGGATAACTGTGCAATAGGGGCCATGCACACGCTCAGAAAGGAGTAGCGGCGCAAGGCATTGACATCACAAGCCACAACTCATTCGTCCCGACTCATCCAAGCTTTTGCATGACCAGTCAGTGCACTGCCACAGATAGATATATATCTGTATATTTGCTTATATGTATATATTCGCTTCGACTGGCTGTGATTTGTTTTTTCTAAACTAAAACCTCAGTTTTCAGGTTTTATTGTAGTGTTAGCACTTTGCGATAAATAAGTGGGTTTTGAGTTGCAGTTTGGGCACTTGGTCTCTAAAGGGTTTGCCATCACTGCCCAAGAAGGATTGAAACCAGAAACAGTGTCAGAAGAAAAAAGCAAAAAAGACTTTTCCTGTAGCACAAAGAAAATAGAAACCCTTGATGACTCAAGGAGGAAACACTCAACAATTGCTAAGAAGAGTAATTTACAGTAAACGCTGTAAGAAATGGAGTCAGAATCCTGAATGCAACTTTTCAGTGACTGTCATGAAGAGCCAAATGTTCTATTACAGTGGTCAGTCCAAAGAAATAGAACCACAAAAGAAGAAAAATAAGAGACCTCTTCCAGATGATCTGGGAAGTCAAAGGAAAAGTCAAACCTAGATATGGAATGTTGAAAGACAAAGAGGGGAACATATTATCTGACCAGGATAAAATAAAGAGAAAGTGGAAATACTATATGGAAAACTGTACAGAAGAGATAAAAAGATGGCAGAGACTCCATCAGAGAGGAACCCTAATGAGAAGTACCCTGCAGTAGTAGAAAGTAAAGTGAAAACTAATCTGGAAGCACTTAGAAGAAATAAAACACCCAGAGTAGATAGTGAACTAGTAGGACTATTGCAAGCTACAGAAATGGAATCAGTACCAATCCTATCAAGAATATGCCAACAAATATGGTTTGGAAAAAACATGGCCCACAGCCTGGGAAAGGAGATGCTAAAGAGTGCAGCAGTGGTCGGGCCATTGGACTAATTTCCCATTGAAGCAAAATTATGCTAGGATGTCGCAACAAAAAAATGACCTTATGATGGAGTGAGAAATACCTGGCGTCCAAGCTGGATTCAGAAAGGGAGGAGGCGCTCAAGATCATATTAAATATATATTCGGAGCCCCTGTTGCATGAAGGATGCAGCCCTTTCATTCGTTTTCTCTCATTTCCTACCTTTGTTGATTTCAGACTCACAGAACTCCTTCAGAATATTCACTGTTCTTTTGACCATTTTGTACACTGTAGACTTCCAACTTGGAAAGTAGTGCTGAGTGGGAGATACCCAATTTTGAGGGCAAATTTATTTGAGGGCCAGGCCCAGCCTCCTTTTTCCCTTTCTTTTTACTGCTGAAGATGTCCTCATCACCCTGCCTGAACAGCAAATTGTGGGCACTATTTCTCCTATGGTTTCAAAAGTGGCAAGAACATGTAGAAATTTCTGCAAAACTGGCATCATCCCAAGTATCTGTGTGCACCACTGATATCCAGTTTCCACATGGCACAGCACCCACAAGAGGACAACACATTGCGGCAGGAGGAAGATGCATTGGGTGATTTGTACTCAAGAAATACGCATTTGACAAACTCGTTGCAAGCAAAGGTGGTTCAAACTGTGCCTATTACAGTACCTGAAATATATGTAGCACTGATTGTGGGTTTATCTGTTTCTAATTTGCTCTTTGGAGCAGCAGTATGGTAGTAACTGAGGGTGTCCATAGAGGACTGAAGGGCTTTGCTGGGTTTTTGCTTGCTGGCCCTCTGTTTCTAACCTGGGGGGCAGATGATGGGCCATGGGTTCCCTTGCATGGGCAAAGCCGTTAGGAGAGAAGATCGATCTGGGCTCCGTTTACCATGAGGAACAGGCAAGTACATACAAACAACACGGCAGGTGACACATTAAACTCATTTTAATGGGGAATACAATGGTCAAGGTATGGCCGATTAGGCAAGTTAAAAGTGAGAGGTGTCTTCTCCGAGGACTCTTCAGAAACCTTGAGGTAGATATGTGGTGGAAGAACTTGGTGAAGACTTGGCAGAACTACGGGCTCCCTTGTAGCTTGCTGTGTGCGCACGCAGCAGGCTGACACGGAGAGGAGGAAAGGGTCCCTGGCAAGGGAGGCAGCAAGTGGCACTGGAGGCGGGCAGGGCGGGGAAGGCCGAGGCTGCAGCAGTGCCATCTGACGCTAGGCAGCGTCTGGGAAGCGAGATGGTTCAGGAGTGGTGCATGAAGTGCTCATCGAGTAGCTCTGCACCCCTTTCCTACAAACCGTGAGGTCAAAAAGCGTAATTGTCCTGCTCAGCTCAGGTGAAAACAACAGCCTAAAACAAGCCATGGGAAAAAACCTGTTCAAAATGAAAGAAAAGAACAAAAGCGTTCTCTAAAGGATCTATTTTGAGACTGTTTGATAGAATTCTGCCAGAACAATCGTCGTCTTAATGGCCTTTTTGATTGCCACAGAGTAGCTTGCATGTTGAGAGCACAGCAAAAGCATAATAGAGTGCATTATTTTAAATGCTTTTTCAGTTTTTGTTATAACCATTAAAATGGTAAATGTTGGCAGAATGGTGGCACACGTGACAAACTGCACTTCCGGACAGCTGCGATTCATATCCATGGCCCTATAAAGTGATGTTTCTCCTAAGAATTTATTATGGCATGTATGCTTCTAACATACAGGTTCCCCTTTGAGTGTCAGAATGTTGCCACCAGTACTCACGTTCAATGTGTGAAACAGAGCAGAGCAGCTCATGGGGCATCGTTCATTCCTTGTACCATGAGTACTTTTGCTGCTATTTACAGAGCAGGAATGCGCTGGAACCACTGCAGAATAACCACTGTTGCAGTCCGGGTGACGAGCCTACATGCGGTGCAGCAGGCCCACGTGCTCTCGTCGCAAACTGCATTAGGATCTCTGCATGGGACTCTAGACTAATTCACACTTGGATTGCAACCTGGTTATGGGATCAAATCGGCCTTGATTGCACTGCTGAATAACCTTCAGCAAGAGTAGGACAGGGAAACGTGGTGTGTCCATTGTGCTCAGACCTCTGGTTGGTTTCCAGCACCTTCGGTTGCGATATTCTCCTGGACCTGCTCCACAGGCAGCGCATCAGAAGCCCTGTGTTGCAGTGGCAAGGTCAATCTCCGAGAGGAACTTTGACTGATGATTCTTCAGGCCCTTGGCAACACAGTTAAGGGGTTCCTTGGGGTTCCATCTTGTCCCCAGTGTTGTTTGCCATCTCTGTGAAGCCACTAAGAATGGCCATTAGGGGATTTGGAGTGCACTGTCATCAGTAGTGCTCCCTGGGACATCTGACTCAAGTGAGGCTGTGCAGATCCTAGAGCAGGGGTCCTCCAACTTTTTCAATAGGGGCCCAATTGAAAGGCAGCAGCTACACGGGTGGGCCAGTGGGCGGGGTGGGGCTGGGAGTGCGGGCCGGTGAGCGGTTGTTGGGTGCATGCGTGGCGGCGGCTTGCTTGCTTGCTTGGAGATGTCCCAGCAAGTGCAAAACCATCTCCGAGCAAGCAAGCCGCCTCCTCCAGCCCATGCTGCAAAGCAGCGGCGAGCACCCGTGCGCAGTGGAGGCAGGCAGCGGTGGCTTGCTCGCTCGGAGATGGTTTTGAACTCGCCGGGAGATCTCCCAACGAGTCCAAAACCATCTTCGAGCGAGCAAGCCACCACCTCCCGCCTGCACGGTGGGCGGTGGCGCAGGCTGGATGAATGGGCATGGCGGGCCGGATCCGTCCCGCGGGCCATAGTTTGAGGACCCATGTCCTAGAGAGATGGGCTGGGTGAAGAGCAATAAATTGAAGCTGCATTCTGGCAAGATGGGATCCGCATGGGTGAGGGGTTCCCAGGTTTGGGAGATCGCCTCATTGCCTGCGCTTGATGCTCTGAAAGATCAGGTTTGTAACCTGGATTTGCTCGTAGCCCCATTGTTGTGTCTGGATCCCCATGTGAGTTCACCTAAGGGCATTTCTAAGAACAGATGGGGCAGTCTATAGATCTCAAAAGTAATATGTCAACAGCCTTTCAGTCACAGATTATGTTAAAAACAACAAAAAACACACATTTCTGTCTACTTAAAGCTTGGTATATGTCCATGTGTTCTCATGGCTTGCTTTTCCTTTTTCCTTTACAGTGTGGCAAGGGTGCTGAAAACTTTGACAAGTTCTTTACCAGAGGACAGCCAGTGTTAACGCCGCCTGATCAGCTGGTCATTTCTAACATAGACCAAACAGATTTTGAAGGGTTCTCCTATGTCAACCCACAGTTTATACATCCGATGTTGCAGAACGTAGTATGAAAATGATAGACACAAAAATCACTCAGTGAAAATGGTCCTTAACCCTGGAGTTTTTAGACCTTTGCCTTGTTGATTCCATTTGGGTCTGAAAATTGTAGGGGTAAGAAGTAAGGAAAACTATTGAGGTTTACAATAAGGAATGTGGTCTTAGCAGATCACCACATAGTACCCCATGTATTCATCTAGGAATCACTGCTGCTTTTAGGTTACTCTTATGAAGCTAGCCTTTGTCGTTTTTATAACTTCTATTGTATCCCTTTGTAGCCTGTACATCTCAAATCTTCTTCAAGGGTTGATAGCAAATGTAAGAGTATCATGTAGGCTTTGGAAAAAATCCTTAGTCATAAAAAACAACATTAAGTGGCTATGAAATGTTGCATGCACAGCCATGTGGGACCAGCCTTCTCATTGGTCTGCCTGGTGTCACATGATAGGATGAATGATTGGATAATAACAGGCCTGAAAATGTATATTGATTGGAAAGGAGTGAATGTAGGAACAGAGGAAGTTCAAGTTGAGCAGGTACATATTCAAACAAATAATGAACAAAACAGGTCCATAAGGTCTTTCAAAATCAGTTGATCAAAATGGAGGCACATGTATAAAGGTTTGGTTAGGAAATGGGAAAGCTAGACAGGTAGGGTTAATACTAACTAGAACTTCTGGTGGACTAGCTTAAAGGTAAACTGCATAATACTGATACATGTATTAATTTTAATCTCCATGAGATTATACTGTAATCCAGGGTGCCATTTTACTGCTTAATTTATGCCACTACTCAAGTTTATCATTATGCCAATTCTAATGCTTTATTCTAAAATGTTTCTTTCTTTGACTCTGAAAAAAATCTGCAAGCCCCAAGTCCTCAATTTTTACTTATTTATTTAGTAAACTGCATGATAGATTTAAGGTATGGAAAGTATTTGTACAGTAAATTAATAAAAATGCAGAGTTCAGAGTCATTCCCCTCTTTTCCCAAGATACTTAAGAAGTGTTTTTTTAAAGAAATATATATAGCATTTAACTTTGGTTTAAGAGACCTGGAACCACAGAAAACTTAGTGAGAATTAAACAGCAACTTGAAGATGTGTTCTTCAGCTGCAGTTGTCTTGGTTGAAGTTGCTGAATATGCATCATGCAATGAATTTTGCATGTTTATTAATAATAATAAGCATTAAGTGAATCTATATTATGGATAATATATCAGGTATGAAGATAATGATATACATTTTTATAAGGCACAGCTGTGCTATTTGTGAAGATTCTTGTTCCGGATGACCTTTGATTTAGATTTAGCTTAATGTTTTATTATTACTATTCTTTTGTTTTTGTTTGGGTTTCTTTTAAGTTCTCAATATTGATAGTTTAGGGAAATCTATGCTTTATTCTTATGTAGGTTTACTGTTAAATGTAATGGCTACCTGCAGGCTTTCTACAACACTTTGACCACGGTCAAAAGCTGTGTGCACCACTTTTGCACTGTTAAAAGCTCCCCCCACAACCCCGAAACTGTGAGTGTTGGGTATCTTACCTACCCCCAGGGCTTCCCTTTCTTGCACCAAATCCCCATATCACCTTTTGGCCCTAGGCAGTTGGAAGGGCAGTTTGAGGGCTTTGTCTTGCAAGGAAGCAACTGGCTCTCTGCTCAGACCAAGTAAGGCTGGAAAGGTATGGCTTTCAAGCATGGCTTGAAAGGCAGACGAGGTGAGTGGTTGCTACCCATCCCTTAATTTAAAAAAATAAGAAGGATAGGTCAAAACTATAATTAACAGAGGTTTCCCTGTAGAGTTCCAGGCTTCTTATTTTGAATTGTTTGTCTTCCCCTTCCCCCTTTCACTTTTTCCCTAGAAGGTGCTGATTTTTAAGATCAGTAAATACGTATTTCCTTTTTTGGCATGGAAGGTGGTACCCTCTTCCCCTTTAATGTTTCCCTTCTTAATATTCGTAAACGTAGATGCTGAATGTCTGCATGTCAGTGTCAGGATCTTGCTGTACAGAGGGCCCTCTGCCTGCCATTTCTGCTGCATGGAGAGTGCAATCTCAGAGTGAAATAAATCGCCACGAATGGGGTTCCTCATTTTATTAAAAGATTACTTTTACAGTACAGTTTTCAACTGTGCCAAAAAAGATCGTCAGTCGCCCATTACAAGCTCTTGAGACTCGCAATTCCCTGAGGAGCTGTGCAAGGGTCGTTTCCCATGCATTGTCTTGCCTTCTCTGGGAGCCCGTTGGCGTTGGGGAAAGCATGCACTGGGCTACCTGTTTGCTCCATGTATGTGTGTGTGTGCACATGTGGTGGGCCCCTTTGCTCATCACAGCTCTCGAGAGGCGTGCAAGCCTATAAAGAACTGGGTGCACCTATTTGTACATGACCGTACATGGTTTCCCCCACACCTGTATGCAAAAGGCATTTGTGAAAGGCCCCACACCTGCATGTCCGCTGTGCCCCACACGGGCCACGAGAGCACGTTGCAGCCCAAGCAATTCAGGATGTGTAAAATGCTCCTCATTTAATCCTTAAGTGAGGAGAAGGTGCGGCAAAATTGAATGCAATATAAATTTATTGTATACGCATTTATTTCGAGGGCATTCCCCCCAAATCTTAAATGGGATACATCCATGTGATTGGCATAGATTTCCTGCCACAATACAGGCACATTTGCTAGCACAGTGCCCACTTCCAGTGTTCTAAGTGACCACAGGGAAGTAAAAAAAGACCTAGGAAAATGTGCTACTGCACTAAGTATTTGCTCAGATTAGCAGTTGCGAACCAGCTAAATGGACAGCAATCTCAGAGGTGGAAATCACAAAATGAAGGGGCATCCAGAAAGGCATTAAACACCAGGGGACGTTTGTGCCATAAAGTGAGACTGACATATGAAAGGTGTAACAGAAACAGTATTGATCTGGCTCCTGGGATACACGGCAGTTCAGCATGGGCGATTTCAGCTGTCATGACCGACAGCACCCCTGCTGAAAGACACTGGACAGCCACCCGAGTGGGATGGTGTACCGTGGCGTCCTGCAACAGCAGGGGCCTGGACCCGATGGCCTTCATGGCCCTGGCCAGCTCTGCTATTCTATGATTCTGCGTGAGCCATTCTGCATACACAGCCCCTGATTAGAGGTTGTTTTGTCATCCAGGCCTGGCCCTCAGGAATTATGTGATGGCTAAACCACCCTAGGCATTTTTGAACCCTGGCAATACCCTGGAGCACCAGGTTCAATTGACATGACAAGTCCCTAAAGAGAGTGGCATGTCCAAAATGGCACCTGGCATATGCTGAGGCTCCTTGAGGGTCGTTTAATCCCAGATGCCTGTCGTGTCATTTGAGCTGGCCTACTTTGAAGAAGAGGCATTTTAAACAGGAGCTGCTGATTTTGATATCCTCTAACTATAAAAAGTAGTAGAAACATGTAAAAGGCCAGACAACTATTACACATGAAAATATTAGAACTACTAGCACTTTAAATATTTTACAGTTCAGGTAGTCTGTTAACTTTTGACACCAACTCACTGCACTCTTTGTCTTTTTTTCTAAAAAAAAATTCACCACCTTAGAGATTTTGCCATTATTGAACAAGATAATTCTGAATGCCCAGTTTTAACGCTTGTAGCTTATCTATAATTGGCGCAGCATAGCAAAATTAAACATTTAATTTTTCAAGAAGTGCCCCATTTACTCAGTACATTTGTTGCCATTGGCAGAGCACAACTTTTGTAGTGATAGCACTTTCCAGAGCACAGTTAATTTAAATAACTGTCCGTCCACATTCTGAGAAGTAATACATTTCAGGGCATATTTTGTTCACCGCAGTTCTCATTTTCTCCAATGCCTCAACACAGTCTTGCATAGTGAGACCTGTTCCAGTGGGGGTGCGTTGGGGTGGAAACACTAATACAGTGCCAACAATGCAAATGGTACTTTTACGGAGCAAGAGAAAGAAGACACCTCTCTCCCCTGAGGAGCTGATGGTCTAAACTCTGGGATCTGAATACCCCTTCTCCAAGGGGATGGACTATAGGTCAGTAGAAAAGCATCTGCTTTGCATGTCGAGGGTTCCAGTGCAAGAGGGGCAGGTTGCAGCTGACAGAGAAGAGCCTCTGGAGAGCTGCATCCAGGCAGAGTAAGCACAGACGGGGGTTCACACTGCAGCCCATCATAGGTGGTGGTATGTGCCATGTGCCAGTGGGCATTTTAAATATTCAACCCTCTATGGGACGCATGGGCTGTCATGTCATTCAGACCCAAGTAGCAGGCATTGTGTGCGAGTTAAACACTCCTCAAATAACTCATCATCTTGTCTAGCCCCAGCATCGAGCTGTCTGGGTAAAGGCTGGGTCCAGGAGGCCTTTTCCCTAGCGGGAAGGTGCCGCTGGTGGAGTTGTTCTTTGTTCTTTCCTCCTGTAGCTTTGCAGAAGAGATGAGCGGGTGCTCCAGGCAGAGGGCTGCAGGAGAGGAGAGGGCATGGAAGACCTGTGCCCCCAGTAGCGCCTTTCCCTATAAGCCATGAAGCTGCTCAGTCCAGCCCAAATACTCTGATCTGGTGTGCTCCTGTGGTGGTGAGTGCTAGATAACGAAGAGATGATGGGCAGTTGCGCAAAGGAAATAAGAGCACTTCGAAAAGAACAGCCAAATGAAACAATAGTAGATAGAGGATGATAGGAACTTAACTTTGTAGCACTGCTATAAATGTGTAATATCAAGCTGTATCACTGATGAACTTATTTCTGAGCCCTCTTAAGTTTGACTCAGTAGTTCTTCTCTGTGTTAAGCTGCTTAATGCATACTGGACCAATGCACTAGAAAATAATTAGCCGCTTACTGGTACTTTGATGTGCGCCAGCATTTGCCCAGCCAGCAGAAGAACAATATTCTTTGTTCTTGCTCTTTTTAAAGGCCCAGCATTGGCCTAAAGTGATATGCTCACTGCCAGCCCATCTGCTATTCCTCTTTTTTGACAAAAGCAAGAGTTTCTTAGTTATATAAACCATCCAGCCCTTTAACAAAGCAGCAGGACAGCACATTAACAAGGTGCTATTAGGACTTGTACCTAAAACATATTCACACAGAAAACATATTTAAACACACCCGCAGCATGTATTCCTTAACCAAAACCAGTTTTAGACATCTGCATGTCTGCTGAAAAATATTTAAATGATGCCAGTACAAACTCACCGATTCCTGTAAGAGTTGGCTCAAAATAGCTGTACTCCTGTTTCTAACTTAAGGAGTGATGCATGCTTAACTTGATTTCATGAAATAAAGACTTAACACACTCAGGAACCTTCGACTTAGACTTCTGTTCAGTCATCTGTGGAATCATATTGGCTGAGAGTTAATCAGGATTTTAGGAACCATTCGTTCACAGAAGAGAGATCTGCTCCAGTGTTTAGAACCATTTATGCAAGGCAAAATTGTAGGAACACCAACCATCAAAGATGGCCCACACTGAAGTGCACTGGTTATTTGGCTGCCTGGCTGGCTTGTTTGTGCATAGGGGCATCCATAAGTGCTCTCTTGCACTCTTCCCGCCACTCAGCAGCCTCAGCAGCCTCCTGCAAGCAGAGCTGTGGTCACAGAACATGGCTGCTGTCTGGAAGGGACTAGCCCAAATGGGTCTTCAGCATCACTTGCGTTTCACCTGATTATTTCTGTCTACTTATGAAATACAAGTGAGTCTTTTTCGGCCAAACTCAACACAGGTACACTAATATAGTAAGGGGAAAGTACTCACACAGTACTTTCATTGAGGATTCATTCCCACCAAAGATTTTGAGAAAAAATAATGATATGATTTGTTACCTATGTTGTCTCACTCATTGGAATTATATAATTGTCACAGCTTTTTTGTATCTCTTTGCATCATGTGTGTTGCACAAACAGCAACAACAACAATGGTAGCTATGTTCTGCTCAACCAAAAAAAGTTTGTTTGCAATACACTAGAATGCAAAATCTGGTAATTAAAATCTCCTTGAAATTCATAACCATAAAATCTATTTGAAACACTTAAAGTAAATTGACAGTGATTTAGCACTGATAAGAATGACCATATAATCAACTGATATCTGTGCCAGGAAAACTTGGCATTTATACAGCCTTACAGTGAATAAGCAAGCATGCACTTAAAAACCCTCCTATTGATACAACAATCTGCAGTGGGAGGGAGCACATATAGATGTTCTTATATTTGTATTGCAGTTTTGGGATTAGGAACAATGGATTACTTTTCTCAGTTCTGCTAATGACTCCCCTTGTGGCCTTGGGCAAGGTACTGAACCCTTCTGCCTCAGTTTTCCCATCTGTAAAATGGGGATAATAATATTAATATGCCTCACAGCCTGTTGTGAGAGCTGTTTAGTTGTTGTTCCTTGTGCACTTCTAATACGAAAACCCTATAAAAATATTACACTTTTTAATATGAAATCAGTTGATTCAATTTACACGGTTTGATGAATATGTTGTGCTGTTTGTACTTTTTATACGACTTTACTAGCACTTCTGGGGGGAAAATACCAAACTTAATGTCTTACAGGATCTGAAGTACAGCTTAGTTCCTGCCAAGCAAAATGCTGCTTTTGCAAAATCATGTAGACAGTTTTCCTACAAGCAAAATTCAAACTGTGCATAAATAGAAATCTTTGCATCATTGATTCCTGAAGGAGTATTTTTTTCCAGTTAAGGAAATGTGATACCATAGGTATTTACTAGCAATGTTCCATAAAGCACTGGAAGTGCGGCAGACCCCAGTGTGGGGGCGGGATTCCTTTTGAAAACAAGGAACAAATATCTCTCTGCTGGTAATTTAGGTTGGCCCCACAACTGATCATTGTGATTATTCATAAAAAAGCAATTTTATTTCTATCAGTGGCTCACCTGAGGAGAAGCATAGGAAAGGGTGTTCCAATCTTGCGTCAAGCAGCAGCTCGAGCATATTGGGAGTTTTGTACCGAATCTCATTTTTAAACTCATAAATTCCACCGGGAATTTCTCCTATGCAAATCCCATTCCGCAAAAGCACACAGACATCCGCCCCTCTCCAGTGCCCTTGAGTACTTCCAGTGCAAAGCAGGTCTTCCCACTCACTTCTTGGTATTTCCACAGTTTTCCCTTCCATCAGTGTGAAACAGGAAGCCCTTGCGGAGGGGCGGGAACTCTGCATGCTCCACCTGAGCACCTGCAGGTCTGCCTGCGCCCATCGGAAATGTTGGGGTCAGGATCACAGGGGTTCCTTTTAAGCAACCCCAAATTCCCTCACAGTCAGCTGGCCTGCACATGCTTGACTGCTATACAAGGTATTAAGCCTAGGAATCTTCAAGCTGTACCTTTCTTTCCACTTCCTAGATTAATACAAACCAATCTAACATGATGAAATGTGATTTTGTTCCCCACTATGGTCAGATGCAGTCCCTAAATATTGACTTTCCGGCATGTAGTAATGAGACCTATCGCTTCATGGTTTTTTCGGTAGTAACCTATTTCTTTTCCTTTTTCTTTTTTCCCTTCTTTTTTTTCTATTGTTAAAGGTCAGAGTCAATAAATCTTACATTTTATATATGATGCCACTTTAAGGAGCAACATTTCTATAAGAAACAGAGGGAAATGTTTTCTAATTATTTAACTGTAAGGTACAGAAATGGAGAGGCCATTCATTTGCAGGGGGAAGTCTAAAAAATAGACAAGATTAATGTACAAATTGTTGCATTTTTCCTTAATCTTAACAATTATTCTTTGTTTGCATGACATTTTTGTTAAATATTAATGATAGTTTGAAAACAAGTGAATATGAATAAAAATACTGTTAAGTATTTCTTGAGAGAGTGTCTTTCTTGCACTTGGATTTTTGGCTAAGCAGAATTCATTGCTTGGTTTAATTAGTAGTGATAATCCATTTTAAGCAATTTTCAAGTATTCATTGACCTGGCTCACATGACCCAACAATCCAGCATGGGTTAATTTACCTTAAGGACTGACTTGCTGTGTATTGTCATGCCCTGCACACCCAGAGAGCAAGCTTTCTTTCGCCACCTTCAAATAGCCCATGGCTTTAGACTAGCTGGGCGTCTGCAAGCAGCATGCAAACATGGCACCTGCAGTTTCAGGTACCAGCCCCTGTGGGTAAGCCCATCATGGGTGTCATGCCATGCTAGTCCCTCCCTGTAGGTTTTTAATTTATTAGGACACATTTCTGTTTGATTGCCAGTTGCCTCAATCCAGCAATTCTCCATTACCTCTTCACACAACCTTACCACAATTCTCACAGTAGCTGGGGCAAAATTGATTTTCCAAGCAACAATATCTTGTCCACTGATGGAATGCAAAGTATTTTGAATGACTAGGTCTTGAGTGGACATTGAAAACATCTTTGTTTTACAAAAGGCCTGCTTCTGGTGCAGATGAAAAGTAGAACTGGTTTGTTGAAATGGATCGATGCTGCACTTCCAAATTTATTGCCATATCTTGAAAACGGGGTTCAGTCCCTGTATGGGTCTGATGTATTAAGACTGCAAATACACTGTTGCACAGGGAGAATTCTACATTTCCAACAACCTGCTACAAGATCACAATCTACACTGAAGTCTAGAGACTTCCAAGAGAAATCTTCCTTTCAGCTGCTGGGCAAAGCAGGAGCAGCAAGACCAACAGAGTGCCTAGCGTGAGCTTTTGCCTTCATAGATAATGCACTGAAAGAGTTTTCATTCAAAAACACCACCAGCTCCAGCACTGCTTGATTCTCCTGTGGACATTCAGCATTTGGTTAACCCTGATCATGAAATTAAAGGATTCCATTTTTAAACCTAATTAAGATTAAATCCCAGTTTGGTTTAAATGGAACAAAGGACATGTATTCTCTCTTTCTCTCTCCCCCCCCCCCACCCCAAGTTGTCCATGTCGTGTCCAGTTGAAAATGTACCACTGACCTATCCTGTAACCTTTGGATTATCCTGCGTCGCCATGCCTTGGTGTAGCTTCTTCTATAGCTTCATTTTGGCTGTGTACAAGCTCTGGTTTGTTTCTTGCTTTTGTCTGAGCACACATCCCTACACTTCCACCCCTTGTTCTTGCAGAGAAAGAATAATGAGGTGACAATCCATAGAAGTCCACTCACTCTGAATAATAAGTACCCTCTAGCTGGCAACTATTGGTACGAGACAACCTTGATACCACTTCTGGGAAGAGAAGGGTGCAATTAAAAAATACCTTATTTTTCGCTCTATAAGACGCACCTGACCATAAGACGCACCTAGTTTTTAGAGGAAGGATCCATGGAAAGCTTCCTGATAATCACAGGCACATTCCCCATCACTTCCCCATAGGCTTCATTAAAAGACGGGTTGCCATTTGAAAACACACACCGACCTGTGATTAAGAGCTCTCACCTGTGCCGGAGGAGGGGGGCGGAGCAGGGTGCGCCGAGCGCGTGCCGGCCAGGTGTGGTGCAGCCGGGCCAGCAGCGTGCCGGCGGTGGTCTTCCGGGTGGTGTGGTGGCGGCAGGTCTTCCCGGGCAGTGGGGGTGAGCAGTCCATCTCTCCGTACGGCCAGTGGATTAAAGCCCGCGGCTCCTCCTCCTCCACGGCAGGTCTTCCTGGGCAGTGGGGGTGAGCAGTCCGTCTCTCCGTGCGGCCGGCGGGTTAAAGCCTGCAGCTCCTCCTCCTCCGCACCTCTCCCCCTGAGCAGCACAGCTCTCACCTGTGCCGGGGGAGGGGCGGAGCAACGCGCGCCGAGCGCGTGCCGGCCAGGTGGTGCCACGCGGTGCAGGTGGCCGGCAGCGTCCCAGGCGTCGGGCACACACACATTCGCTCTATAAGGCGCACAGACATTTCCCCTTACTTTTGAGGGGGGGAAAGTGCGTCTTATAGAGCGAAAAATATGGTAATAACATATACCACCTGAAAACAACTTTCCTGTGTTTTATTTTCCCATTATTGCAGTTCTTAATTGTTAATAATGCTGAAGAAAAAATACTTCACTGTGTTTAGGTTTATCCAAGTAAGATTTAATAAACCACGCACACCTGCAATTGCAGGAGAGAGAGTTGAAGCAGTCACAATGTCCCCTGAAAGCAACAAATGCCCTCCCCCCCACCTTAGCCTCTTGCTTATGCACCATTTTCGGGAAATGGAGGAAAATAGAAAACCTTATTACTGAGGAATGCAAACTGTAAATATCGGAGATGCAGCCATTAACAAGCACTTCTCTGCTTGCTCTGATGTTGATTTACAATAGCCACAGACTTCATCTTGTGTCAAAAAGGTGAGTTAGAGTCAACTACAACCTGTTTAGCACAGAAAGGTATGCTTTACTCTGTCCCGGGTCTTCTCAGGGATGCTTGGTACATGCATATACTTTACTTTTCCACTAGGCCTAGTCGATCTGAAAATACTCAAGGCCTGAACTTCTATTTCTGCAATAATGAACTCCAGCACTTTCTAGCCAGCATACAATGTGACATTATAGGTTGCTTCCAGTCAGAGAGGGCCTCTAGAGGAAGCAAACCAAAGATACCGTGCAGCTATTCTTTTTCCCCTTTATGGATTTTCTGTGCTAAGGGAACACACAGAAGATACAGGAAAACACACGTGGATTAAGGGTAGAAGATAACATCATCAGGACCTTCTGTGAATGAGTCAGGGTGATGACACAGTTAATGACGGAGAATAAAGCTGCTATTTGACCACAGATTCAGCTTGGCGAAACCCAGGGGACTCACCAGACTTTGCTAGGTTCTGCATGCGTGCACAGGCATAACCCACTGTGGCTTCCAGTGCTATGCTGGCTTAAAGCCTTCTCTGAATCCGGTGCTCCTCCTGGCTGTGGGTGGCAGCTTTGTGGTTACTAAGCTGCCCCAGTGAGCCCTGGCTTGTAGGTTGCACAGCAACCCCTGGGCTTCCCGCATCATCTGAACCCAGGCAAAACAAGCTGCCCTGATGGAAGCCCCAAACCCTGCAGAGTCGCTGGGCAAGGATGGCAGCAAGGTTGCTGCTTTGCTAAGTGGCTCTGGGCAAGTGGGGGCAGACCCTCCCACTGGCAAGCATGGGTTACGTAGGCATTCTTCAACCTCACATAACATGGCAACCTGCAAGCAGGATTTGCAGATTGAACGGGCAGCTGCCAGTGCTGCAGCTTATGGGCTAGATGAGGGAACCCAGGACAGCCCTGCTGTGGCACCTGAACCCAGATTCAGATAGGCTCCATGTGAATTGTCCTCCAGGCTATGGCCATGCAGATTAAGAGTGCCAAGTCTGTAGACCCCCAAGTTTTCCTTTCTGCCAGTGTATATCTTTGTTCACCTGGAATCAAGCTGAAGGCCAAGAGACCATGTGCATGTGAGTTTTGCAACAGGCTGCTCCAGCTTTTTTAGTGATGAACTCCAGTTCCTGGGTCCTTTGTAGTTTTTCCTACATATTGCATAACACTGATAAATAATTTGCATTACTGGTTGTCCCTGCTCCTATTGATCTAATGTAACACATTTTGTTACTGACTGTGCTCTTGAAGGTAACTGCAGGTAATCGAATTGATGTGATCCTGGGCTGCAAATATCTTACTGAAGCGCTGCTTTAACTAGTAATTCATGTAGATGGGGTTGTTTTCTAACTGTGCTGCATGGTGGAGGATTCATGGCTTCCATTAAGCAAGCACAATAGGATAAAATGTGGTAACGATATTGCAGAAACTGGTGATGGTTAGGAACAGCAAGAAGGTCCCTTACAAATGGAATGTGATTTTCTTTCAAAGAAAGAATTACACTTTACCTCATAAAGGAGGCAATTCCTCAGTATTACTGATGCCCAACTGGTAATGGCCTGTCAGAAGGTTATGATGCAAACACAGCACTAAATCCCAGCACAGTCCCAATTTTTTCTCCCCCCGCTATCCTTGTGGAAAGTTCCTGACATGCTGCTTCTCTCTGTGTACCTCCAAAAAAAATCTCATATAATCGTGTTCCTGTATTTGCACATTGAGGCCATCTGAAATTTGTTTTCTGTTCCCAGCACCAATGCCTGGGGTACATTTTCACTCAGCATTGTCTCTGTTGCACCTTGCCTGGCTCGAGAACTGACATTTTTCACATTGGAAACGAATGGATGCAATTACTCCACCTGTGCTTTAGCTGTGATTCAGCAGCGACATCTATCAAGCACCTTGTGCCTAGGGCAATCCCGCGACCCAGTTCAGTCTCTTGCTCACTGTTATGGGCTCCCCAAGTCTGTGAGCAGTGAGGAATTTCAGGGGCACGATGCTTTTCCTACTGAGAGCTGCTCTGAGTGCAGTTTCCTCGTGGGACTCAGTGAGTGAATCAATGGATGGATGGATGGATGGATGGCCAAGCCTGGGAGGGGTTGTTGTATGGATAAAATTGTGAGTCTATGTCATGTAAAAATCAAAATGGAAGACATAATACAAATGGAAAGAAAAAAGAGACATTCTGAAGAGGTCAGTAAATAAACAAAAATATTGAAACTAACATTCTGATAACAGCATCCTACAACCTCAACATCCTCTTATCACCAGCAACATGGCACAGCTTCCTTCTCCAAGGTGATCTGGGTTGCAAAGTGATAGCACATCCAGCCAAGTGGCCATGGCTTAGCAGATTTCAGTTCACTCTGAAGAGATCTCCATGCACATTTCCAGTGCTTCAAGTGTCTTTCCCATGTGTGCCTGCTGGGCAGCCCTATGGGGTAGGCTAGACGATGGATGGTGTGACCTGTCCCAGTATGCAGTGCCTCTGTTCATATCAGTCACCAGACATTCTAATTCTCCGTATTGTTAACAATCATTGGAAAGGCAGTCCTTAGAGGAT